AATAATAAATCACAATATTACTTCTGACGGTTTATTGCTGGCTTCTTTCTGAACAGCGACCGACGAGACGATGACTGTCGTATTGATGCCTCCGCGAAAATTGGAGAAGTTGGTTTTGAGCAAACAACCGTGAATTGATCGTTCAATCTTCAACTGCATTGGCACCAGTAGCCCTACTCCCAGTTGTATCAGAAGTACTGGAAATTATTATTGATGACCACATCAGGGAATATTTTGATAGGATTGAATGACTTGTTATATTGTGGAATAACTTCAAGCTTTATTTTTTCCCAAGTATTTTTAATCCATCCAAAACTTACTTGGGTTTTTTTGTTAATGCGAAGTTAATATTCCTATATTTCATGACGTGCTCCATTGAATGACTGGTTATCATATTGTTCCCACAGACCTAAGACAAAAACGCCAGCAACTATGTAACTTAACCCCAAACCAAATTTATGAAATTTATACAATGCTTACCCATGCCTGTATATTTGGTGTGTCCTACACAAGTAGGAAATAATGTGTATTTTATTAAAACATTATTATTAATTATGATTGCTAATCGTATATGTAATTTATCATATTGATGATGCCTGTAAACTGGCGTCCCTCATGTACAAAATGAGAATATACTATTATTATTATTATATAATACATGAAGCCCAACATGGTTTCAGAAAACGGAGATCCTGCGTTACTAACCTACCATCAGCTTGGGACGACTGGACATCATGCTGGGATATGAATGTACCAGTCCATGTGGTCTTCCTAGACTTTGAGAAGACATTTGACACTGTACATAAAATAAGCCAGGCAGGCATAGGTGAGCCACTTCTGTCATGGTTGAAGGACTACCTAGCCGACAGGCAATTTTGCACTAAGGTTAACCGAGTCCGATCATCTTGGCACAGATCGTCATCAGGAGTGTCGCAGTGTTCTATCCTAGGACCACTGATGTTTTTGATTTTCATCAATGATCTACCACGCCGTCTGAGCTGCCCGACTCTCCTGTACGCTGACGACGTAAAAATATGGAGGGCGATAAAGTGTCCGGAGGACTCAGATAGGCTACAGGAAGACCTAAACCTTCTGGAAGACTGGGCGGTGGCCAGTGGCATGACTTTCAACTTGAAAAAGTGCAAAGTAGTGAAGTTGCGCACCTGTAGACTGCAGAATGCAAGTTACACCCTGTGCAATGAAAGCTTGTCCTGCACAACGTCGGAACGCGACTTAGGTCTAGTTCTAACGGAAAAAATGGACACAAGCGTAAATTACACAGGGGATGTAGCGAGGGCATATGCGGTCATACACTTTACGCATAGACAGTTAGGTGCACTCACTCCTGAGCTCTTTCTAAGGTTGTACAAAACATACGTCAGGCCACACCTTGAGGTGCACAGTATTATTGCACCCCGAATGCTGAGAAGAGACGCCAACCTCTTGGAAAGAGTCCAGCGACGGGCAACAAAAGGAGTGGTTGGTCTCCGAAACAAGCCATATGATGAAAGGCTGAAGAAATTAGGCCTGTTCACACTTAGCTACCGTTGGCTTAGGGGGGATTTGATTACTGCCTACAAAATAACAAATGACCAGAATCACCCAAACAAAGGTGTTCTGCCATTGAGTAGGTATAGGCTCCCACGTGGAAATCCTAGAAGGATAGCTCACCAGAGGGCAAGGACCCGGGTGCGCTCGCATTTCTTTTCACTGCGGGTCTACCGTCCCTGGAATTCCTTACCGGCAGATGTACTATGGCACGTCTTTGGACGCCTTTAAGCGAAGGCTGGACAACCATGCAGCGACACAAGGACTGCATCCAAATGGCCTATCCCCTTAAAATCGCATACACCATTCAGGGGTAGACAATTAATCTCGTCGTTTTACTTCTTTACATTCTCTCCCGTCTTACTCTCCTGACAACTTATTGATATAATAATTACTATTACTATTATTATTACCGATATATTATTCTTCAAACTTAATGAGCTGACTGTTGTTACGCTTTCTTATTTCCGTTTCTGTCTCTTAGTCTGAATAACTTCACTAATTATATCTATTATCATTTCTTTTCTCTTGTCGACGATACCGAAGGACTAACTGGCGAAAGGATCAACTCCAATCACAGTAGTAACAGTCTTAACATACCTCATACTACAAACCACATATAATTAATCCCAGCACTACTCCCTTTGGAGTCAACCAAAGCTACGACAGTCGAGTGGCGGGACAAGCTACGCAGAAGTTTACCGAAGATCAGGAACCTACACTTGACAACCAAGAAGCGAGCACAAAGAATTCAAATCGGTTTATACTAGCTCGTAAAAACGATATTGGATATTGGAATTGCAGATAGGCATTTGTGGCATAGTTGAACATAATATTTGCGGAAATTGATGTCATCGTCTCACATTCTAAAGGAAATAAGAATGATTTCGTCACCCTAATCTCTTCAAGGTTCTGACTTGGAATAAGCAGATCCCATTATACGAACTTAAATATAGGTCCTTCAAATTTCTTAAATTTCAAAAAATCTCGTCAGAACAAGATTTTAAGGGGGTAAAAGCATTAGTGCTGAAGGCGAAGGACCGGGAGAATTACTAATTCATTACTTTGAAACGACACTACACATTTTGACAGACCCTATATTGCATAATGTTAGGAAGTAGAGTTCACTTTCTGTCTATCCACCTGTGAAGAAGACCTGCGAAAAAAGATATTAATAAACGAAATTGAGGAAAGGGATATAGTTTATCGTCATAGACTGGAAACGCGAAACTTAAGATCCATTTGAATATTGTATTCAAAGTAGACATTTAAACTTGAGTGGTACGGTATCGAAGTGACAGCCTTTGTAATGTGTTGTTGTCGGTTTGGTTTTTAGTTTCAAGCTGTTTAGTTTTTTGAAGTCTATGTCGCCCGCCTTTCGGTACTGATAGATTTTTGTATAAAATTGTGGACATCATGTCGAGGACTTGTTTTCTGTTTAAAATTAATGCTGGATTCGGCGTTTAACTGCTTGCGGTTCTTCCCAATGACACATGTTGTCATATTGACTTACTTAGCCTCATTCATAATTTCATGTATCTGATGGTCTGTTTTCGGCTATGTATATTGGAAATTAGCAGATTTGATTATGATTATTACTTAGTATTGTTGGGATAACTATTTTAAGTTGTTTTGGGAGTTCACGTTTATGTGGATTGTTACTTACCAAGCATTTTTAATAAAGTAATCCTCTAGATTTACATCTGGAAAAAATGAAAGATCTTAGAAAACAGTATACTTGCGCTCAAAATATACGTTATAGGCTAGTTCACGTGTCAGATCACTTAATTCGAAGGTATAGTTTCACCAGTTGTGTTTTAAAAACACCGACCAATTACAGAAGAAATACTCAACATACTTTGGCAGTGTTATAATTTGTTGCACTGTGTAGCCCAGGCAGAAACGTATATTTGCACTACTGAGATTTCATATTTGTTGATTGAGAATAGAAGGCTTGAAGCTTGTATCAATACTTTTCTACTTAGTTTCTGTGCTTGTCTAATCACTTGAACGAATAAATTAGGACCACTGATACTTTTTTTGGGAGTAGGTTCCAAGAGTGTGAGAACCAGTGCCCCACAGTGATATACTCCATCCTCAGCTTTTGAACTCTTCTGCCATGTCATCTGAGATGTTCTGACCTGATGGAGAGGGAGGGAGGAAATAGATCATATCCTCAGTCATTTGTTAGAATTTCGAGTATTGTAATGAGATCTGTCTGCATACGGTATGATAAGAAGACGTTCAGACTATTAAGTCTTTTCTCGAATAATAAATCAGTCATACCAAGGATCATACATATTGCCTCTCTTTGAACTCTTTCGAGAATCTGAGGCTCCCCTAAGATAAGGGCTGGCAGTCTGTATGCAGTTTTCTAGTTTTGATATTCAGAATTGTATGCAAAGATTTGAGCACATTACTGTTGATCCTAGTGAACGCTCTGCGCATTGCCCATGAAGATCTGAATCTACGAGCTGCTACAGCTGAACGGTGAACCGTAGTTCTTAGGTCATAACTAACATATCTAGATCCAAGTGAGTCATGTCTCACTTTCTGCGGAAGACTGCACTGTTCCACTCACAGGTGCCCTCTTCAACTTCTGACAGGTTGTAACTGCCTACTATCCATTTGCGCTGTGGGTGAGGCTAGATCTACAAATTCAGAGGCTAGTGTAGCGACGTTTGCTATTCCTTTTCCTTTTGGTGGCACTGGGTCTATTGAAACTACTATCCCTTAGCATTGTTTCTTCAGGGATACTTATGGGCTTATCAAAGATGGTAACACCAACACTGGCATCTGAGCAGTGTTTGGTTTCCCTCTGTGGTGAGGGGCCTTGACATTTAAGAAGCTTCAACACCCCATCGTGTATTACAGTGAATTCCTGTACACGATGTTCTTTTAAGCTGCAACAGTCGTTGCCCAACCAGTGCGCGAGGGTTTGAAGCAACGCGTGTATGCTGAGTTTGTTCTGGAACCGTCGATTACAATTATCAAACTGCATATTATCCTTTACTGGGTAGTGACATATAAGTTTCCCATTACGGTTCTGTTTTACAGTCATATTGATCTAAATTATACGTATTTCTATTGAAAGTAACTCAGGAATGGATGACCAGAAGTATAAAAAACACACGAGTTGTATAAAGTTACAAAAAACTAGGAAACCAAAATGTTACAAAAACACAGTAATGAACCTCAAAACTTATAAAAGAAACTAACTTCAACTAGAATAATTCAAGTTACAGCTTATCCGTAGGTTATTTATGTGTATAACACAAAAGCTGAAATGAAATGCAAAAATTCACTCACTTTAAAAGTCCTATATGAAGCTATGGTGATATCTGGCTGCTTATGTTATAGTCACGTATACAGTTTTGCTTTGGAATATTTAAAATTTATTATTGTGCTTCTTAGTTGATCTACTTATTTATTCCCCAGGATTTTAAACCATAATGGTTACCAACAGTCGGAAAAACAGAAGGAAATCGGGACAAAGTCGCCCTGTACAAGGTAATTTTAATATTTGTTGGAGTTAGGAGTAATTTACATCATTTAACGTTGTCATTTTTATGGCGTTGATCATTTGCTTTGCAAATTCTATGCTATTGTAATTCAGTTAAGTATAGTGAAGACAGCCAGTTTATTAGTGTTCTGTGCCTCTTGCTTTGTGTGCTACATGGAGTGTGGCGACTTGAACTGCCGCACATATGTGAAAAATTCTATGTCGAAAACAGACAGACAGACACTGTTCTGTGCCAACATCACATGTAAGTAGTTAATAGTAAGGTTGGTTAGGAGATTGCAGAATAAAATTTGAATTACTGAACAGTTAAGGATATTTTCAAGTTCCAGTTTTACACCAGTGATCACAAAACATGTTAAAGGTCTCCATTATTTGATTTTTGATGAGTGACAGGAAATGCTTATCTTGTGGAGACAATCTGCATAATTCCCACTGAATTAGTTTTGATCGAATATTAATTTTTTATTATATTATCTACTAATCGCTCCTTTATCTTGTCTAATATAGATAAGGCAACTAATGAAGAAGATCAGATGGAGACCGTTGAGCTGTCAAGTAAGCGTTTTTTTTTGTTTGCGGATATTAGTAAGGTAGGGTCCTATTAACTCTGTTTGTGTTGCTCTGGTATATTTAAAAAATATGGTATAATTGCGATACGTAATCTGAATATTTACATGTACAACTGTACTTGTGGTCTAAGTGGTTCTAAACATTATGATGGATTATAGTCTTTTATATTGTGTAACTTCTTACAAGGGAATTTGAATATATGTTAAAGTTACTGGTATGTTCACTTTGAGGGCCGTATAAGTCTGCATCCATTTCATTTCAGGTGCATGGGTTAATCTGTACACTCTTTAACAATAAAATCACGAATCGTTAATGCCATGGTTTACTATATGGATATGAAGTCTATAGAGCCGATAAAAATATGTGATGTTACTATTTAGGTAACTTCACTGAATAATACCATAATGTATTACATCATGTTCCGGTGTTGAATACTCACAATCATTCTGTGATGAATCCAACCTGGCCTAGGTTTCACTGTGCATCCGCAACCATTAAAAAATTCAATTCCTACAAACCAATACTTAAATATCAATGAGATACTCACTAGCGACTGGCCCTATTCAGGTAGGTCCTAGTGGGAAGTTGTGACCAGTAGGGTCGAGTTTGACGGCAAGTACTCACCGAAGTCATTGGTTAGTAGTCGTGCTATGTCGTGAATTAGCAGGAGTTGGAATTCATAGGCCATTGGATCGGATCTCAGTGGTTTAATAGTCTACGAGCTCGCTGGCCTTGTGACTAGAAGGTCCTGGGTTCGAAATGTAGTGGTGGGTGCGTACTATGAAGAGCTCCAAAATAGGACAAAATAGCTGTCCAGTACTCAGCTTGTTTTCCAGTGGTTCTTCAACCGATGTCAGCTCATGATGAAATCCTGTAACCAGTCAATCAAATCCCTACAAACGAATACCTGAAAATTCAATCTTTCTTAAAAATTCAAGCCAGGGCTACTCAGTGTTATGATTAGAGGCTTTAGTAATGAACTGACTGGAATCTGAGCGTTTTCGAGTTATTTTTGTTTTTTGTAACTGATTATCTTCATGTTGAGGTACATATATTTCCTTCATTGTTTCTGTCTTTTATTTCAGGAATACCTCCAGACAAACTTAATTACTTGAATATAAATCATATCTTTTTAGAACTGCATAAATCAAAACGAGTAAGTTTTTGTAAACTGAAAAGAACACGATTGTCTTATCTTAAGGCATAAAAAGATAGCTTGTTGCTAATGAAATGATTAGACATTCTTTATTTTAAAAGTTTTTTTGTTACCAGAACCCTACGAAAAGCGTCTGCAAGAATTTCAACCTAAGTCTTGTAGAAGGAATTATACAAATTAGTTAAGTTTGCTGGGATTATTGCAGCCAAGTATTATATATCCTCCTATGTAATATGATTCCAAATTTAACACATTACTTCAAAGAGTTCAGTCCCCATCCTTGTTAGAAAATGTAACCCGACTAATAGCTGCCACCCTGACGCAGTGACTTAATAAGCCTAAAAGCGGTTACCATCACAGTGTAAATTGTTAACAGGGAAAAAAAGTAACTACCACATCTCCAACAGCCGTGAAGTATCAACAACCCGTACGCTTTTATTGGTAAACAAGCTTTTTTTATTCATCACACAGCCTCATTTTCCCCTGACCACACTGCTAATGCTATTCCTCAGACAGTCCCTTCACCTTCTCTTGACATTGTGACCATTGTTGATGTCTGAGGCGAGAGAAACCACGGTTTGAACTTCATATTAGAACTATTGATATCCGGACGTTATGTTAAGTTAGATAACAGACTTCACTTGTTAAAAGTTTGCAACCTCGGGTTTCATGTGCGCAGAAAACCGAAGTGTGTTTATCCACTTGACTCCACTTGATCAATATTGTGAATCTACAAAATTTTATCTAAACCTCTCAGGTGATTATTTTGATACCTTTCATCATCTCTACTGTCGACAAAGATATTTGGCTATTCAGCGATTCTCTCCGTACAAACTTACCTCTCTGAGACGTCACTGTTGAAGGTAGGAACTGTAACATTGTAGAAGAGTTAGTTGTAATGCATAATTTTTAGGAAGGACATTTTGGGAACCTGTTTCTTAAGATTAGAAGAGGGATATATTGATGAGCCTGTAGTCGTATAGAGGTAACATCTCTATACTGTCTCATCGTCTCCTCCAGAAGTATAACTTCACCTTTAGACTCACTGTCTCTGTTAATAATTCATCTCGTTTTATTTCACGAGTAATTTTATTTTCTGCCCGCTTTTAATAAACATCGCTTTCATTTACACTTTTGATTTTTTATGTAGAAGTATGAATTAGTATGCAACGCTTGTGGTATTTCTATGACCACTGTTGGTGCAGCTATTCACCACACTTCCATGACTTATCATAATGTCAATGTTACAGTAAGTACTAATTTTATTTGTTTTTAAAAGTGTATTATTAGGTGCATATGTTTATTGCGTTGTTTATTCTTCGTACCAGCCAATGATAATACATTTGTAGCTTCTAATACTTAATATGCCCGTAATTTTCTTCCACTAACTTTCAAGTATTTTGACTTGACTAGTAATGTTAACACTGAATTCCAAACGACTAAGTTTCGATATTTTCTCCTGGAAAGTGCTATAGTGTAGTTACTTCTCACATGATAGAAGCCTATCTTAACTGGTTTGATCACAAGCTGACGTCAGTCAGAGAAGCATTGGAGAACCGGGGAGAGTACTGAACAGCTGTTTTTTTCTTAATTTGAGGCTCTTCATCAGTATCCGCCCATGGGGTCCAGACCTAGGATCTTTTATAGACCATTTAACCACTGAGACTTGATCCTCTGGTCATGGATTCCAACTTCTGACAGTTCGCAGAACGTATCCCTTTTTCGTAGTGTGGAGAAAAATTATTTTTGCAATTAAACTGTTCCTCAATGGCTGTACAATGATATGTTGCCTTTTCTAATTAGGACATATTATGGGAGTCTGGCGGTGATAAGTTATCTCATAGAAAGTTGTCTATATTAATGATGTCATTGGAGTAGTTCAAAAATAAAAGTAATTACACATTGTGATTGATGAATGGTGCCCACTCTAGATTTCATTAGGTTGGATAGTGAACAAAGAATGTTATTCAAATGTTGGTTTGTAGGGATTTGATTGACTGGTTACAGGATTTCATCATGAGCTGGCATCACTTAGAGAACCGTTGGAAAACAAGCTGAGAGTACTGGACAGCTATTTTGTCCTGGTTTGGGACTCTTCATCAGTACGCACCCACCGGGATTTGAATCCAGGACCTTCTGGTCACAAGACCAGCGAGCTCGTAGACTATTAAGCCACTGGGACCCGATCTAATAGCTCATGAATTCTAATCTCTGCCAATTCACGATATAAAGAATGTTATTCTCGATGATTTCTTCCTCAGATTATATTATCCATTATAAAATAAGAATAATTGTTATCGGTAACATTAGTGTTTATTTATTTATTTTAAATGACATCAAAATTCTAAGAGTTCTATGCGAATAGATTGTTGATACATTATAATTGAAAACATGCGCGTATGTGTGTATGATAATATGCATAAATGCAACACTAAATTGAACCACAGATTTGAAAAGTGAATAATGATCAATTCATCGAACATGTAGTAGTACTGATTGCTCACGATTAGTTTTCGTATTGATTATAAACTTCGTATAGATGAATAATAGTGTCAATAAAAACAGGGGGAGAAAGTGCGGTAAGGTTATGTGCGTATGTCTCAGTGTAACTGAATCACTTAGGGATGGTAGATGGTTGGTGTAATGTTGATAAATGGGAATGAATTAGTACTTCCGTCCACTAGTGATTGCGTTGAAATGATTTAAGGTTAAAAAAAAAAACGCTAAGTTCGTAAGCTAATGTTGTGAAGTAATAATCAAACAACATATCGTAAGAAACACGTTTTTCTAACGTTGTATTAGGTTGATTGAATATTCAAACCTAACAAAAGAGGTTGTATGAATTTCTTATGGACGGACACAAGCTCTGTTTATTTGTGCGAATCCCAAAGGTGAGCTGATAAAGTATGGACAAGATTGTATGGAGTACGATAACTTAACAGTAAAAGCTTTGTTATTATGAAATTCCATAGTAATTTTTGTTTATTGGATGTACATAACACACTGAAACAGTATTGTTTACTGGTTGATATTCTGAACACAATTTGTTATTCATAATCATCATATCAAATTGCTATCATATCTTCAAGAGTTGGTTTTTAAGGATTAAATTCGTTTTTATGAGTTTGACCACGGATTGATATCAGTTAGAGAACTACGATGAAAAAAAACACGGAGTACTGGACAACTGTTTCATCCTAGTACTCGGGATTCATCGGAGTTACGTACCCCACTCACCATGGTTCAAACCCGACCTTCCAGTTACAAGGCAAGATCGTATACTATTCAGCCACTGGGACCCGATTTAATGTCCAGTCCATGAATTCTGTCTTCTACTAATTCGTGATTTAGCGCGACCACCAACCATTGTCATCGGTGGGAAATCCATCCTCACTCCCGACTGGATGGGATTCATTGGTCACGACTTCTCACTAGAACTCCAGGAAACTCCATTCTGTAGCGAGTCACTAGCGAGCACCAGATCAACTTAATATGATTCATTTTCTGTGTGAAGCGAATAAATTAATATTGTACACCCTATCTTACATTTCTGTATTGATTTAATTTTAGACTGTTGAATTGAAGCATACACTCTTTTACCTACCCCCTATCACGGAGTCTCATAGAGTTGCTTTAAACGCCTCACTGAAATCGTCTACTGCTTCTGTTATAGCCGACAGAAATGAGATACAACGGCGTCAAAACTTTGCAAATGATCTTATCGCAGCTATTGAAGCTCGAATTCCAAGTAAATCAATCGTAATATGATCAATGTTTTTGGTATTGTTGATAGAAACGTAAATTTCAGACATAGATATCCTACATCAAGAAGAATTCTAGGCTTTTAATTATCCAAGTATTGGTTTTTGTAGGGATTTTGTTTGATTGCATGGAGGATTTAATCATGAGCTGACATCAGTTAGAGAACCACTGGAAAACCTGGGAGTACTGGACAGCCGTTTCGTCCTAGTTTGGGATCCTCAGCAGTACGCACCCACCGGGATTCGAACCAGGACCTCCTGGTTACAAGGCGAGCTCGTAGACCATTGAGCCACTGGGACCCGATCCAATGGTCCTTGAATTCTAACTTCTGCCAGTTCACGACATAGCGCGACCACTTCGCAATGTCTTCTTCGATGAGTTACTGCCTCATCTTCGACCTGCTGTACCCTACTGGTCACGGCTTCCCACTAGAACCCAGGTTAACTGCCTGAATAGGGCCAGTCACTAGTGAGCATCAGATGAATTTTCAAGTATTGGTTTTTGTAGGGATTTTTTGATTGCATGGAGGATTTAATCATGAGCTGACATCAGTTAGAGAACCACTGGAAAACCTGGGAGTACTGGACAGCCGTTCCCTAGTTGGGACTCCTCAGCAGTACGCACCCACCGGGATTCGAACCCAGGACCTCTGGTTACAAGGCGAGCTCGTAGACCATTGAGCCACTGGACCCGATCCAATGGTCCTTGAATTTTTTAATTATCCTTTTTTTACTAGTGGACTAAATTGCAAAGGAAACATTGTATTGAGTTACTGTTGTGATTTTTCTGTATCAATAATGCATCACAAAGTATCATTGTACTTAAATCGAGAGTGAAAGTTTTGGCTATGCAGGACAGTGGTTTTTGAATATTCAAAACCAAAGTATAACTAAAGATGACACAGTCAAAATGTTTTATGAGCTTTCATGAAGTCATTTGGTGTTCTAAGTTCGATATATGCGGGAATTATATAAGATGACAAATTTGGCGTGTTCAAAGTGTCATTGCTAAATATGGTTATAGTGTGTGTTCACTTCTGATGTTCTGAGAATACCTGTTTTTCTTCATTTCTTATATATTTATGTAAATATAAACTTGCTATACCAGAGGTTGTAGTAAATGCACCATAAAATAATCGAACAACAATTTAGAAGTACGAGAAATAAAAGTCAAATTCACAATTTGCAATTTGCTCATTTCAAAATGAAATTTCACCTAAGTTTCCTTGGGAAACCGAGATTATCCAGATCATAATGTGTGTGATCTGCTTGATACAATAAATGCTGATCAAAAAAGTCAGTCGTATTGCATAACACTATATACCACTGATTGTTTGAGGTGAATAGATGTGTACCACTCACGTCAATCGGGGTTCACCGCTGATAAACTCAGCCGTCCGATGTTTAGATCGCTTCGATGTGGCTGGCAAGAATTACTAGTTACTGTGATTAGTATACAATTACTCATCTCAATCAATTATTAGTATATAGTTCTGTGCTTCCTCCCCCCCTCTCCAATGAAAGTGGTCCTAGGTAGATGGCGACGATCAGACGCGCAGTCGTCGAATATACTTGACCCAAATGAACCACTTTCTACTGGTGCTAAATTAAACTTGCCTCATCAAAGAGTCTTAAACTCAACTTCTGACAGTTAGATCAACACTGCAGCTTGACGTATACCACTCTAACTTTTGCTATACGATTGAAAATGTCATCCGTCATATTTCTGTCAGCACTCACATAACTATCTTGGCACATGTACTTTTTGACTTTTTCCAATGGTTTACCTGCTTGAGTAAGTGCAGATACAGGGCCGCTGTCCATCTTGTAATAGTACTTCTCATTTACACAGTGAAAACTACTTACTATACTTACAGTGCTGACAAAAAATTGGTCAAGTGAAATACTGTCTGTATACTCATGATTAAATGGCGTTTTTTTCTAGATGGCAGACCTAAACCACCACACATCTTTATAAGCTGTCTCTAAAATATCATCGGCGAAGTTATTGAGAAATGACAATTTTGGACAACGCGCTGTCCAACCCAAATACTGGTTGAGAATGATGATGGTTGGTGGCTGTACATTGTTACTCTACCTGAAGTGTTTTAGTACAGACCTTTAGTAATTCTGATTATATACCTTTCCAAGTAACAGGCGATTTTGAAGAGCGTTTCTATCCAACAGATTGAAGCAACTACGACATCAAAATGGAACAATTAATGGCCTGTAATATGTGTGATTGTGTTCTAGCGATCGGTAGAGAGTGAATAAGTGATCAGTGTATGCATGACCTGAAAGGAACACTGCCTGTTCTGTATGAATTACGTTTTTACGCATTTTGTAAAATTTGAGAAGTCAGTAGCAGTCAGTACTTTTGACACTATTGATGACAGACTGATGTAGTGATGATTGTGACATACATTAAATAAGCCATTTTAAAAGACAGGCACGATTATGACCTCTTTATCGCCTATCCTTTCTCAAACAATCTAGTTAGTTCCGTGATTGGCTTCTCATCATCATTTTAAAATTGGGTCGACGATAAGTCGTCTGGACTAGATGTCGTATGAGGTCTTCATCATACAGGAGTTCCTTTCACACTTTTGCCTAGTTAAGTCTACCTTTTTAACCAACTATGTAGCACTCTACATTAAAACATTTGTCAATAGTGCTGTTAACCAGCTTGATCCTTTATAAGAAAAATCCTATGTCCTGCATTACTGGCGTGTTTGCAGGTTGCTTATCTACTTCGCAGTTAGCTTCACTGGCACGAGGCTTTTGGCTGCCGGTGACTAACAAGGTGGAATTCCTTCCTACTGTTTCTGGATGCCGTTGCCACGTCCACCTCACATGCACGTTACGGCAACGAAGACTCAATAGCTTTTTATTTAGTCTTTATTAGTAAGTGCATTTCAATGGGTTTACGTCAATCTGTTTAGAATGGCGTGACCGGTGTTCTGACAAGCTTTTTAAGAATCCCTGTCATTAGTTATTGGTAGCAACGTGATCTATATGCTTTGGGTTACTGCATGTATACTTGTCTATAACCTCAGAATAATATATGGAAAATAGTCTCAATTGTCACACAGTTATTCGTTCATTTGGATTGAATCGCCACGATAAAAGAAAATCTAGCATTAAAAAAATGCAATGAATCTCTGTAAGCATACGAATCTGCTTTTCCTAAATGCGTCAACATGAGCTGACACACTTTTGTGCATACTTCTGTGTTGATAAATCAGTCAGTCAGTTAGTTACAAGTGAGAGTAAAACGTTGAAATTTTTTATTGTCATTGTTAAGGTTATCGGGTGCATCAGTGAACAGTAATAAAGCACCTAACCGATATATTTTTTTTCACTTGACATTCATTTTGTGACGGATCACTGAATTTCAATTTATTACGAATTTTGTTTTAAAAATCCCATCATAGATATAAGAGTGCGAGGGACTGGCAGTGTGTGGTTTAATTTAGCGTTACCAGATGTAGAAGTATCATTAGATGCTGTCCGTGTGGATGATACGAATGAACCTTTCTCACCTACAAAAGAATCGGTTATTGATTATGAGAATGCTGGTCCTCTTAGCCCTCTGTCAGATTCTAGTCAGCTGTCAGATGAAGAGAAACGAGCAAAGGCTAATTCATTGGGTCTTGGTTACGTTCTATCACACATTTTCGAATTATTACAATGTAATGCCTGTGAACAACCAACTAGTGAATTTGAAGACACTACAATGTCAGAAGAGAATATTCATAACTCAGTTGCTTCTAGTGACAAGACTGAAGCTAACCAGATGTCAGAGTTACCTAAATTCCCGAAATTCCAAACGTATGTTAACATTTTTAATTAGTCTTTTATTATTTGCATAATAATTATTTTACCTCAGCTAGTCTTGAGCTTTTGTAACTTGGCGAGTTCTACTGATAACTAATTCTGTTGTTTGATTTAAGTAATTATGTACATTCGTGATTATGCTATAGTTTTTATATCTAATCAACTAGTCATTAAAGTTTTCGGTTAGTTCCCTTACAATTGATAAACAACAGACCACTAAAATCTGATTAGTTCGATTTATGTTGGCACTGCGTCGGTGGCACGGCGGTAGGATGCTCGTCAACCATGTAGGTGGTCCGGGGTTCGATCCCCGGCCGACTCACTCCGACACCTCGTTAAGTCAGTAATAAAACTGGTAAAGAGGAAAGGTTGGGGATGAGGCTAGCAATTCCATCCTGTAAAAGTAAATACCACTGCTACCGAAACTTCAAGCCCTAGCTTGAAGCCCTATGCTCCACCAGGAACGTAAAGGAATAAAACGCAAGGGTATGAAGTTGTCTTCCACTAGATGTGATGTAGCGCTTACTTACAAAAATCTTGATCTTAATTTTCTGTCAATTTATCACAGTCATTTCAGATAGAATTCGAATGGAAAGGATTAGCCGATGAAATCTATGTTAATAGCTTGGAGTGAAAAAAAAAATAAAAGTTGGTTCATATCGACTTTATTTTAACTTCATCATAGATATGCTAATGGAAGTATCCTTAACTGAACGTAACGACTTAGGAATCGACTTGTTACCAAGAAATAGTCTTATGGACTTAGAATATGCAGATGACATAATCCTGTTAGGGGAGGATGCTGACAAAATGCAGCAGAGTCTTCTGAACACCTTGAGCAGCAATCTTCGTATGTTTGGAATGCGATTCACCCCTGTAAAATGTAAGATGCTGCTACAGGACTGGACTACGTCAACTCCCACCTAGCTTAGTGATAGGGAGTGAAGCGATAGAACATGTTGACCACTCCACCTATTTGGGAAGTTGTATCAGCACCAATGGACTGATTGGCGACGAAATCTCAGCACGGATCCAAAAAGCTCGAGCTGCTTTCGCTGACTTACACCATCTCTGGCATAGGCGTGACATCCGGCTATCAACCAAGGGATGTGTGTACTGCTCAGTAGTTCGCTCCGTCCATCCTTGTCTATGGCTCTGAAACATGGCTAATACGAGTTGAAGACATGAAAAGGTTGACTGCTTTCGATCGTAGATGTCTACGATCTCTTTCTCACGTTAGGTGGTTTCACAAGGTAAGTAATGTTGACGTTGGGCGTAGAGTGTTGGGTAAAGAGCGAAAATCAATCGACGAGGCTATGAAGTTACAAAGATTGAGATGGCTAGGTCGGTCACGTGCTGCACATGCCTAACCATCGCCTCCCCGACGGGAATTACTAGCTGATATAGAGGTGCAGGTTGGAAAAGAGTAAGTGGTGGTCAAACAAAAACATGGCCTCATCAATCCGTGAAATTCTTGACAGTCAAACTGAGTCAGGTAGGGAGGGAGATTCAGACTTCCGGGTTGGGGCCCTCGGGACTCTAGGAATCAATGGTTGGAGACAATAGGTGACATGGCTCAAACTCATCGTTGTCAATGGCCAACGCAGATGTATTCAGTCTCTGTAATCTTTGATATTTCTTTCTACCATTACCCATTCTGTTTCATTCTTATACCTGTCAAACTCTATTGATTCTCTTCACTCATTTTCTTGTCTACCTTTGTGTGCTATTTGGAACATGGCAACTCGAACTGGTGCACTTCGGTGCTAAGTTCTATGTTAAATCCAGACAGACGGACATCGACGTTATTGTTTTAAAGTTTTGTTATTAGAAATTGAACTATGATTTAAACAAAGGTGAGATTTTAGATAAGTTTTATCGGTAAGCATTTAAACATTAGTGTAAAATGGATGCTGTCAATCGTGACGGTCTACCACACTGAGTGTATAATTCATGATGAAGGTTTAAAATATATAATTGATTCAGGGATTGTACTTAATGTAACAAACGGTCGAGAATGTATTTCATTCAAATCAGGAAACCTTTTAAGTAGTGAATCACTAGTATAAGTAGACCTTGGTTTCATTCATAAATGTCTTTTGGCATTGAGTCTCGTCGGGCAATATCTTGATAGGGAATCAAATACCTATACTATTGATATATATATATATATATATATATATATATATATATATATATATATTTCTAATGTAGTTTCGTTATATTTCCTACCCTTCTTTTCGCGCTTCTTCGAAGTACGGCAACTTGAAATGAAGCACTTTTGTGCAAAGTTTTACGTTTATATTTCACTCAGTGGAGACGGTCTGTAGTTTCCGCTTTATGAACATTGTAAGTCTTAACATACGGAAATTTCTCCAGTCCCGTCTTCAGGACAAACTAAACCTCCGACTGTACACTGTGGTAAGGTTAGTCGTAATGCATAGTTTTTAGGGTGGACAATTCGCGAACCTGTTTCTGAGGATTAGGAGTGGGATATCGATGTTTAAGTAGTCGTATGGAGGTGTAACTGTGCCGTCGTCTCCACCAGAAGTATGACTTCGCCGTTACATTAATACTTGTTAGTATACTGTCAACCGTTGTGATATGATATACATTGCCTCAACAAATAATAGGCCAGCAGCACTTTCACGGCTGACAATCACATCATGATAACATCTATTGGTGGGCAGGAGTTCTACTCTGGTGCTATTGTAATACTGTGTCCTGTTACACATTAGAATATTTTAAAATAATATCATAAAATTATGTATTGATATACTTATCATTTATCCCTATGACCATATAATAATGTTGGTAGGCATTTATGCATATTGTGTTGCTTTGAACAGTGTCCTACGAACGAATACAGATACCTTCTACCTTTCCCTGACGGATCTCCACGGTGTTGCGTATCATATAGGTACGGGTCATCCAAATGGATACGATCTGGCCAAATTAATTGATACTTATCTTAAACTGAATGATAAAGCGCTACAACTTTCAATCTTATTTCGAAAATTGGCAAGAGTGAGTTTATTTTGCATAAAAATATACTAATATTTCTATTTTATATAAATATGTTTTCTAAGTATAAATATTTTGTGCACCAAAATACTAAAAAATTTCAACCAATTATTTAGTCTTTCATGTTTTTATACTGTTCGTCTAGTTAAATTTGTTTTTGCACACAAAATAAAAGAATTGATTCAAAAATATTTACATTATAGGAAATATTCTTTTGACAAAATGATTATATGTGTGTTATTCAAGTGTTGGTTTGTAGGAATTTGATTGGTTCCAATGGTTCTCTAACTAATGTCAGCTCACATGATGAAATCCTTATTATATGTGTATTGTTGATATTATTCGAATTTTTTGTCATTTACAACTGATAAGACCTCTTCTGCATAATGAATATTTGGAGAGTCATTCTATTTGATTACTCTTTTTTTATCGTTAATTAAATGCAGTTTCCTTTTCAACTCGTTTGATGAAATAGACTAATCTAACGGAGAATGATATAACATTCCACCGTTACCACCGCTATATTATGCGTAATAAAAGTTGACCAGTTCTAAAATGAGCTTTCCTCACCACAATGACTAACGTTTCCTTCATGTGGGGAAAAAGTTAGTGAGCAGTAGTGACTGACGTGTCGACTGTCGACTGAGACTAAGTTGGGCGTTTTACTTTTTTGAGATGAATTTAGAGTATGTATTTCAAATGATAAATGCCCTGTCTTCCGAAATATTGTTAATATTTTGAAAACATTTCTTCCCCGTAGTAAATTTAATAAAACAAGCAACAACTGTGAAAAAGAAAGTATTTAATATTATTTAAAACAATTATTCCCTTTTATAAATAATAACACTACCCAAAAATGTATTTGATGAATTGATAAATCTCGATGGGACTCGTCAGTTGAATACCCTACAGACGCTGTTATTTATACAATCCTTTTTCAGGTTAAATAAATACAAACACATGAACATTATGTGAGACAACAAATGAGTATAAATTTCAAGAAATATGCGATCTCATGGAGGATTTCATCATGAGCTGACATCAGTTAGAGAACCACTGGAAAACCACGAGGGAGTACTGGGCAGCTGTTTCGTCAGTCTAGTTTGGGACTCCTCATCAATACGCACTTACCATTACTGTTCAAACACAGGACCTTCTGGTTACAAGGCTAGCGAGCTCGTAGACCATTGAGCCATGAAACCCTATGCAATGGTTCATGAATTGCAACTCCTGACAGTCCACGACATAGCGCGACCATTTCGCAATGTCTTCCTCGATGAGTTACTGCCTCATCTTCAACCTGGTCTATTTTACTGGTCACAATACGCACCCACTGTATAACACTGTGAGACTATCAAAACAAAATTTACCCATAATGGAATTACACTCTACCACAGTGCACAAGTTTTATTCGTATATCAAGGGTTGAAAATTAATTACAGAGTTCAGGATAAGTCGATTTTTAGGTGTTAACAACAAGTTATCGCATAATCAAGAAATCCGTAAACTAATAATCACTAAGAAGAATAGGATGACTCAGAAGAATTACGTGAAATACAAACAAGTTAATGGAATTAGCCATAATTATAAAAATTAACAAAGTCAAGAGATAGTTACAAGGGGAGGGATAAAGAAAAATCGTTTTAAAAACTTTATACATATTATGTAGCTGGCCATGACAAAGAAAGGCGCTGTAGAAATTTCTTTTGAACAAACAGATTTGGCTTGTCCAAATGAATTCCGATTGCCTGCCTCTGTTGTATGAAAATGGGGATTTGGAAATTATTGAATATTATTCGCTGGATGGTGATGTTAACAGATTATCACTCACAAAACTTCTAGATCGTATATTTGTTGAAGTTGTCATCACATAATGTTCATGTGTTTGTATGTATTTAACTTGAAAAAAGATTGTATAAATAACAGTGTTTGTAGAGTATTCAGCTGACGATGTCCTGCTGAAATGTCTGAATTCATTAAATACCACTTATTTTATAGTTATTATTTGTTAATATTTCATCTTTTGCTCCGCATATCCTAATTTTTCATGTTGATGTGGTTTCACTTATGCTGGGTATTTTCCCATTAAATTTTATCGGTAATTGTCAGCTTCTTGAAGCACTTTACATTTTGTGCTATTTCCTACTTTTATGCTAACCCATTTAATAAACAGTATATTGTGTATCTTGATTTGACACTAGTAACTAGTGTGATGTGTCTAGTCCTCTCATTGGTGCAGACTGAATTCTGTCAGTCAGGTTGTAATGTGGCCACCATTCTAGGTACCTCGCCATCACGGTGCACATTGATTTGGTGATAATAGATGGTTGGAGGCAATCGGCCACAGGAAGCTTTGGATAACTCAAGTTTCGTGCTAGTTGGCACTCACCAGTCAGCAAGGCGTATTTACAACCTTGAAGGAACTCATGTCCCTTCTGAGATTCGAACCCGCGTCCTGCTTCCTGCCGATTGGCTCCGACCATCTATTATCACCAAATCAATGTGCACCGTGATGGCGAGGTACCTAGAATGGTGGCCACATTACAACCTGACTGACAGAATTCAGTCTGCACCAATGAGAGGACTAGACACGTCACACTAATTACCAGTGTTAAATCAAGATATCCAATACAGTCCTACAGGAGGTCAATCGCGAGCCCGAGTAGCTCAGTGGTAACGTCTCTGACTGCAGCACTGGGTGACGCGGGTTCGAATCTCAGAAGGGACATGAGTTCCTTCAAGGTTGTAAATACGCCTTGCTGACTGGTGAGTGCCAACTAGCACGAAACTTGGGTTATCCAAGGCTTCCTGTGGCCGATTGCCTCCAACCATCTATTATCTCCAAGTTAACTTGTGTAGTTTATGTTTTATAAAACCCAGTAATGTTACTCTGTCACAGTGCACCTAACTTCTCTTCTCTTATATCCAATATTTGATTGCTTTTTTCGCCTTTTTGTTTTGTTTGACTTCCCTTATTCTGTGTCACCTTCATTTCACTATGTGACATTTTTCCTGGTCTCCTGGTAGATCAGTTCACTTTTCTATCGGGTTTCTTTAAATGCGCGGAAATAGGTAAGAGTTGAAAATATTTATAAACGAAAGGACTTAGTTCATTCTGCTTAATTATTTGGTATTTAACTCCACTTAAAACCAATGCTTTGATTACCTTTTTATTTACCAATGAAATGAGAAGTATTTTGAATATAATCAGCTTGTTCTGAAGTGATATTTTTTATGGGTGGTAGCCTTTATTAAAAATAAAGTTCAGCTTCTCACTATCAACTTAGACCTACACATTTACCGTACAAAAGAATAATACTTATTTTTCATGGCTACATAATTTCCTCATTTCATGGAGAAATTTAATTTGAATAGAAACTATATTCTTTACTTATAAAAGTGTAGGGCTTTCCTTTTAGTAAATTATCCAAACTGTCTTTGTTTGTCTCTTGTATAACAGAATTGTTTAGAGTGGAGCAAACTTTATTCAATGTTCTAGTCTTTTCAAGTGTTAACACTATCAAATGTCATATTCTTTTTTATTTTTATTTACATTAATAATTTAATAATAATTTTTCCTTCACGTTCCCCAGTGGAACATAGGGCTTCAAGCTAGAGGCTTGAAGTTTCTGTAGCAGAGTTTGTTTTACAGGATGGGGTTGCTAGCCTCATGCCCAACCTTTCCTCTTTAGCAGCATTATTTCTGGCTTAGCGAGGTAAAGGAGTGCCTCGTCGGCCGAGGATCGAACCCCGGATCTTGTGCATGGTCGGCGAGCGTCCTAACCACTATACCACCACGCACTATTTACATTAGGTGTGTTTCAATCGGAATTACTCTATCTTTCAGAGTTATTCCCTATCTTTATCTTATATTTATTCATATATTTCAAGCGTTGGTTTGCTGGGATTTGATTGGTTACAGGTTTGATCATGAACTGACATCGGTTAGAGAACCATTGGAGAATCAGGGACTACTGGGGAAGGTGTTTCGTTCTAGTTTGGGGGCTTTTCACCAGTATGCACCCCCAGGAGTTCGAACCGGTAACGTTTCGGTCATATTATAAGACTAGCTCATAGGGCGCTTCCTACAGGGACCCGATCCAATGGCTCATGAATCTCAGGTTTTATCCCAGGTTTTCCGGTGGTTCTCTAATTGATTTATTCAATATTACACAGCATTCTCAACAGTACAACACACAATTTGTTCTTCCAGTCAACTTGTTTGACTAAATAATATTAAGTAGAAGAAGTTAAAAGTACTTTGAATTACTTTCGATTGTATTTATTGCTGCTGTTAACAATATAAATCAAGCAGAAGGTAATACTGTGCAACAAGATCACCGATAGCGATTTTGCACAGAACAATCGATCAATAAGTTACACAATCTCAGGTGGTATGCTATAACACTGGATTAAATTCACCAGTACTTATTCTCATATCATATATGTATAGAAATATGATGAAAAGAAATTTGATTTCAACATGAATTCATTATCATCATGTTGTCTTGCAAAGTATTTCTTTATTATTCATTCTTAATGCATATATCACTAAATGACTCCAAATATGAACATTACTATTTTTCATATCTGAAGTATATTCATCAAATTATACGGAGTTTGATTTTGAGTATATGTGTTGTATCTGTGTTGTATATGCTTATAAAAAAACTTGTGTTTGTTTGTGTGGTAAATAGAATTTCTCTTGTTGACAACATATTTTAAACTTAGTGCATTCTAAGATATGCGTAAACATTATATTTGTATAATTGAAATAGTAAATTTCAACGTTTCGTTTGGCAAACTTGTCCCATCTTCTTTAGGGAAATAATCAAAATTTAGTGAACAAATGAAGAAGAAGTAGAATCCATCAATGGGTCATTGAATTCAGGCCCAAGTGGCTGACGACGAATGGTCAACAAACTTGGTCTTGTTAACCTGAAGCACCTAGTTTTGAAGGTTTCCAAAAGGGAACGAAACAGCTGTCCAGTACTTTCTAGTTTTCAGTAATCTGTAATTGATGTTAGTTATTGACGAAATCTACATTGAAATTAACCATAATCCCTACAGAAATTCAGTCTGAATATATATCTATCTCTGGTTCATCAGTAGCTACTGGAAGGATATCCTGAAGCTTTAACGAGAAGTGCTGACCAGTTGGATCTACTATACCAAGGCTAAGTAGACGTTCACCGAGGGCATTGCTGTGGGGTAGCACTATATCATGAATTGATAAAGTTGGAATTCACAAGTCATTGAATTTTGGCCCAACTGGCTGCTAAATAAATGATCAGCGAACTTGGTCTCGTAATCTGTAAATGTCTTGGGTTCGATCTCTAGTGGGGTGTGTGGGTCGTGAATGTGCATGGCTGAAGAGTTCCATTAAATGTTATGACATTCAGAGTTAAGTATTGTGGTCTCTGCGTATAATGATCATTAAGGTTAAATTTTGTAGGTTATTCCTTGTTTCGTCTTCAAAAAGCAGTTTTAATTTAATGAGTTCAGATTATAATTAATAATAATAATAATGCATGGGTTTTTTCACGTACAAATACTTTGCTTGTCGTTTATTTAAACACGTGATGTGTTAATCTTTGCGAAGGGAAGTAATAAATAGTGTAAATCTTGAATTCAGTTAGATATTTTATGTGGTGGCATATGACTATGATATCAGATGTTTCCGATTTAACTTTAAGTTCGGTAAAAATGAAACATTAACACAGGTGATTGAGTGAACATATATATTCAATCCAATATTTAAATATGTCATTATTTTCAAGTGTTTGTTTTCAGGGGTTTGATTGATTTCAGTTTTGATCACGAATCGATATATCAGTTAGGGAAGCATTGAGAATCAGGAAGTACTAAACACCCGTTTCGTCGAAGTTTAGAAGCCTTCAGCAGTACGCACCCACAGAGCCACCTTCAGTGATCTAACCCAGGACTTTTCATTGAATCTCTAATTGAAGTCGATCTGTGATCAAAACTGATATTACTATTTCATGTAGTGGAATTCATAACCTGCGTTTTGTGGTAATATGGAGTTCGTATCTATCATTTTCATCAACAAAATTGAAACACTCGCATACTGTCCTTTATCAATGAAGGAACAACTAGGTAACCCGGGAATACTGAACATCTGTTTCTTTCTAGTTTCGGACTCTTCATCAGAACCTACCACTGGGGTTCGAACCGGAGACTTTCCAGTTACTAGGTGAATTCGTGAGGCATTCAACCGCTGGGATCCGGTCTAATGTGTATGATGAGTTACTCATCTATGACATTGGCTGACAGTTCTATGTATTTCGCGAATCGGCACAAGTTGGAATTCCATGGGTCCCCGTGGCTGAATGGTTCACGAGGTCGCCTTGTAAATGGAAGGTCCTGGATTCGGACCTCAGTGAACTAACACTTCTGAAATGAGTGCCAAACTAGGAAATAATAATGTCAAGCAGTCCCTGGTTTTCAATGTTTCTTTAACTGTTATCACACCATGTTCGAACCTGTAACCAATCAAATCATGGAGAAGATTTGTACCTCAGGTAGATGACAGTGAATTAATTGTGCTCTCTGACTGGTTGATATTTTTATTGACTTGTCAATATAGAGACGTCAATTAACATCCAGTCACGATACAATCAAATCATTCATGAAGAATTTAATAAGTCCATTTTATGCTAAAACCTGTGATGAAAATGTTGTCTAGAAGGACGACAAAAGCTTTGAGATTTAATCAATCAGCTCAGTGAATGGCATTAATTCAAAGTCGATCAAATCCCTGCAAATCAACACTTGATATCATCCATATATTGTTGACCGTTGCGTCGGTGGCACAGCGGTTAGGACGCTCGCCGACGACCATACACATAGTCCGGGGTTCGATCCCCGGCCACCGACGTACTCCTTTACCTCGCTAAGCCAGAAATAATGCTAGTAAAGAGGAAAGGTTGGGCATGAGGCTAGCAACCTCATCCTGTAAAATTAAACAATTTTTTTTGTTTTTGATTTACAGCTTGATTCCACACTATATTTTTGTTACAAGTTTGGAATTTTCGCATGGATATCGGTAGCCTAAATTTCGCAGGCCGACCGACCATAGATATCAGGTGTGCGTCGGCGGGGGCTCGAACCCCAGACCATGTGCATGTCGGCGAGAGTCCTAACCACTGTACCACCGACGCACACTTCAAGCCACTAGCTTGAGGCCTTATGTTCCACTGGGAACGTGAAGGAAAAAAATTTGTTGACCGTTAATTTTTATTTTTACTTTACTTATTTCTAGTATCTTTAATAATAGGCAATAATGATCAGTGAAAAAATAAGATACTTTCTTTTTCAATAATTTATCTTATTTCTTATCGTGTTCTCATATATATTAATCATTGTGTGTGTACTCTCCTCCTCCTTCTTTATTTATCATATTAATAGTTGGCTCATTTAGATATGCCTGAAAATGGTACATTCGATGAACCAATTATTCCCATGTTGGTTATATTCTACTTACAACACTGTGATCCATCAATACTTCCTAATCTACATAATTTATATCGTCAGCATATCGATAACATTCCACAAGATTCATATCATCAAGTAAGTTAAAGTGGTTTTAACAAACACTTTATATTGATGATTTATTTTTTTAATTTGTATCGATTACATCATAAATATTTTTGTTATAATTCACTTCACTTTCACTTTAATTCATTTGCAGTTTACGTTCTCCGGGTGGAACACAGAGCTTCATTTTTTCTTCTTTTTTTTGAAGTTTCATTAGGGATGTCGTTTTTCTTACTGTAGTGTGAGTGTAATAGTGGTGTTATTCTTTACACCTTTCACTTATTGACTTCTGTTGTAATATAAATATAAAAATAGCCTCACTAAACACACTTCTCGATCGACAGAATGTAGGACGTCATTTTCAAGTCAAGAAATATGACAACTGTTGGACACTGGTAAATATGCTTGTATTCCAGAATCTGTTGAAGTGTGGAAGTGGATGCTGTCAAAACAACCTTTTCCAAGCCTAATTGTAGCCTGGATTGTACATTTTTCCTTGTGAACGCTGCTTAGTTCACACATAATCATTGACTCTAGAATTTGCAGCCGGGCTTATTCCCATATGATTATCAGAGGAAGAGCTTATGAGTAGTCAAATAGAGAATCCTGGGACCATTGCATAAAGTCTTGGGCTGTTAGTGTGAACTACGTGGGTGGTAGTTGTAGACTGCCTGATTGGAGTCTTGGAGACTTTAAGAACCATTGAATTTGGACTGTTGATGAAATCTCTGAAAATCGTTCTCAATAGCTGAGATGCATTCACTCTTCGTATTTTCCCAAAATACATTAAGTCTTCATGTTTTCCCATGTATATTTCTGCTTATTCTGATTCTTCTGAGTTTTTCTCCTTTTCTCTACCTTTGTGTACTGTATGGAGTGTGGTAAATTGATGTGCTGCACTTCAGTGAAACGTTCTACATTTGAACTGAGTTAGTCTCATTACAGGAAGACTTACAGGTTTGAAATCTTCTCTAAAGCTGAGATTTGTTGTCGGTCGTTAAAAAGGTAGGTATAACTCCTGGTGTAATATAAGAACTTATAAGTGATGACGTCAAGTTATGTTGTTTTTTTTTTCTAAATTTTAAAAATACCAAATGTGTAGTTCAAATGTAGCGTAAAAAACGCGAAACTATTTTTTTCTTTTTTTGAATTTGATGATGTGATCTATTTGCAATAAGTGAACGTGAATATTTTTTCAAGTTTTGTACAGTATGAATGTAACCGCTTAATTTTTTTGGTTTTATATTTTCTTCCTTAGGTCCTGTTGCCGGATGGTGATTGTTCATTTATTACGGACATAGAATTAATCCGAAGCTTGTGTCCTGATAAACCTTGTAAGACGACTCCTTTGTTATTGTGAAGAAACATTTTAAGGCTTCTGTTGTCTTTACCTATTTTTCATCCAACTATTAATATCGCGTCCTTATGTATGTGACATTATTATATCGTTTTACTTTTATTATTACTATTTTTCCCTTGGGGGCTCCGTGTAGAAAATAGGGCTTCCTCAGCACACCTTCATTGCACCCTGTTTCTTCGGTTCTTTTTGGTTAGCTGTGCCACTGTCCATTAGCTTTCATCTCCCCCCTCACATGATCGCTTCCATTGTCGCCTTCGGACCGACGCCTAACTCGTCGTTTTCCGTTGGAACTCCACTCAATACTTACCGGGATTGTGATGTCACACAGTAGTCTCCTTAGCGTGTGTCCAGTCCTTCTCCATTTTCTTCCTCATATTTTTTTAGTCAGCAATAGCTTGCTGTTTCGTTCATTGCCACTGTCTGTCTGTCTGTCTGTCTGTTTTCGACATAGAACTTTGCACAAATGTGCGACAGTTCAAGTCGCCACACTCCGTGTAGCACGCGAAGCAAGAGAAGAAAGTACAAGAAAAGCATAATAGAGACAGTAAACAGAGGTGTGAGGCAAAGGAGGAGTAATAACGAAGAACAAAACAGTTTCATTGGAAATCATAAGTCACAAGGAGTGGATGCATCTGCGCCACTGAGAACGATTTTGAGCCATGTCACCAATTGTTTCCAGTCATTGGTTTTGACCGTCCCAAGGAACCCAACCAGCCAAGAAGTCTACACCTTCCTATGTGGCTTAGACCAACTGTTGTGGATTTCATTGACTGGTAAAGCCATGTTTTTGTTTGACCTCCGCTAGCTTTTTTCCAGTCTGACCCTATATCCGCTAACATTGCTCGTCGAGGGAGGCGATGGCTTGGCATACGTAACACATGTCCTAACCATCTCAGTCTTTGTAACTTCACGACGTCGTCGATTGATTTCCGCTGTTTACCTAGAACTCGACGCCTAACCTCAATATTGCACACCTTATTATGCCACTTCACACGGGATATAGAACGCAGGCACCTATGATCAAAGACAGCTAGTCTTCTCATGTTCATTGCCACAGTTCTTTGTTGATAATCCTTTCTCGCCGGCCATATGATCTTTAGTGAGGAGCAAAGGCGTTTGTCGATGGAAGTTTGTAGCAGCCTGTTGGAAATGCTTTGCATGGTGCGCTCTTCAAGTCTCTCAACCATGTCGAAGAGGTAACTTGACATTAGTTTTGAAAACTCGAATTTTGTTCCTTATTCTGAGTGCAGCATATTTCCAAACAGATTTCAGATTAATGATGCGTCTTACTTTTTTGATAGTGTCTTTTTCATATTTACCCGTGCCACATATATTCTTTCTTTTATTCCTGTACATTCCCAGTGGAACATAGGGCTTCAAGCTAGAGGCTCGAAGTAACTTGGTAGCAGTGGGTGGTATTTACTTTTACGGGATGGGGTTGCCAGCCTCATGCCCACTCTTCCCCCTTTACCATTCTTTTTACTGGCTTAACGAGGGAAAGGAGTGAATCTTCGGAGGTCAAACCCAGGCCACCTTCATGATTGGCAAGCATTCTACCGCCGTGCCACATATGCTATACTATTTTCACTCCACTGTTCTTTAAAATTGAGTAATATTTTCTAAATTTGATTTCGATTCATGAAGCTGCACAATTTGTCTTTGGATATAGAAAAATGAATTAGTTAGTGTTTGTAACGAAAATTGTGTAATGCAGTGAGACATGTAATCATTGAACTGGATATGCTTCTAATTTTGTAGGAGTAAAAACAATGTTCAACATTTATTTTGTTAGAACCAGTAAATAACAATATTTCCTTCAAAATATGTGTTAGCGTTGTATTTAGACAACTAATTTTGCTTTTAGTTACATGTAATTCACTTTAGTACGCGCATTTCTGTCCTATCTAATGTCAGCGGTATTGATTGTGATTATGTTATATATACACATATCACAGGATATGGAGTTTGTTGCCACAGTTAGCGTCGATGGCACAGTGGTTATGACTCTCGCCGATCATGCACATGGTCCAGGGTTCGATCCCCTGCCAACGCACACCTTATATCTATGGTCGGCCTGTAAAATTTGGGCTACCGATATCCATGCTGAAAATTCCATACCTGTACCAAAAAAACGGCGCGGAATCAAGCTGTAATCAAAAATTAAAAGAAAAATCGTCTTCAATCGATGGTGGATGGAACCACTGACTGGCAGTGGTTTTTATGGCTGTAAGACCTGGCCATTGAGAGTGGAAGACATGAAAAGCTTGGCTCCTTAGCTGTCTTTGATCATAGGTGCCTGCGTTCTATATCCCGTGTGAAGTGGCATAATAAGGTGAGCAATATTGAGGTTAGGCGTCGAGTTCTAGGTAAACAGCGGAAATCAATCGACGACGTCGTGAAGTTACAAAGACTGAGATGGTTAGGACATGTGTTACGTATGCCAAGCCATCGCCTCCCTCGACGAGCAATGTTAGCGGATATAGGGTCAGACTGGAAAAAAGCTAGCGGAGGTCAAACAAAAACATGGCTTTACCAGTCAATGAAATCCACAACAGTTGGTCTAAGCCACATAGGAAGGTGTAGACTTCCAGGCTGGGGTCCTCGGGACGGTAAAAATCTATGGTTGGAAACAATTGGTGACATGGCTCAAAATCGTTTTCAATGGCTGGCGCAGATGCATCCACTCCTTGTGATTTACGATTTACAATGGAACTGTTTTGTTTTTCGTTATTACTCTTCGTTTGTCTCACACTTCTGCTTACTGTCTCGATTATGCTTTTCTTGTACTTTCTTCTCTTGCTTTGTGTGATACATGGAGTGGAGTGTGGCGACTTGAACTGTCGCACATTTGTGCAAAGTTCTATGTCGATAACAGGCAGACAGATTCGTCTTGAAGATGTGCAATAAATGATGACTGTATTTAACCGTTGTCTTTGTAAGAGTCGTAATTTTTTTACCATCTATTTTAAATATTATATATCTATGTATTCAACCAATATGCTGAAGCAAAATGAAGATAGATAAGACACACTTTGAGGAGATTGTTGAGTGATATCATTCGAGTAGAACCTGAATGGGAAACTAAGAGATTGGGGCGTCCGAGGATGAGATGGAAGAGATCGTGCGAAAAAGAGATGCAACTTGGCACCAGCTTATGAGGCCGTCTTAGAACAGAACAAAGTGGAGACGTGCTGTTGAACAACTATATATGTATAGTATAACTTTCCGTTTTATCTATATTTCGAAGGTCAATAAAAATGTTTGTAATTTTCTTTTTCTCTTTTGGATTTTTTTTATCTCACACTATAGCTACTGATTCATCCTGCGAGTCACCTAGTTTAGCTGATTTATGGCTTGGCTTTCTTCGTTTTTATTTATTTGACTTTAAAATGTCCTCGTGTGCTATTGATATTATGCGATCACAACCAGTTACAAAGTCTGGTGGTGCAAAACGTTATTTTACAGTTATTGGTAAGTCCCATTCCAATGCATTTAACACTCATGGCTTATTAATTTTGTAAATTGTTGTCTTGAGTATTAATTGTGAATGTATGAGTAATTCGAAGATGAACTCGATATTATTATTATTATTATTGTTATAAAGTTACGTCATTCAAAGCAGTAAACAAAGTAAAAGTACCAAATCAAAATGTTTTGATTGAGGAGTAAGTAGTACACTTTCAATCGATAGAGATCGATCATAATAGTGGAACTCACTATCGTTTAATCTTGAAAATATTCAGGCTTTAATAAAATTCAGTTATCCATGCTTCCATAAAATGCTGAGATAGTTGTGGTTACAGTCATCAGAATACCATGCTTACTCGTTTAGGCCTAACTAACTGTAACTCTCTAGGCTGAAACGTCTTTCAATATTAAATAGTTTATTAATTTCTTTGTTTTCTATAATAAACTCAAAGACTAGAAGCACTCTCTCTATGCTCTATGATCATATAACCTACATTTTAAATGTTCATCAATAGTAGTATTGCATAACTAAATGAAATTGGAAACTACTCGAATACTACGACGTAGAATGCCCCAGATATTCATCAACCTTATTCAACAGCTGGTTGGGTGACAACGGGACATGTCAAGTGATCCACAACGGAAAACTCAGCGAGGCATTTGGAGTAAACAGTGGAGTCAGGCAAGGGTGCTTATTAACTATTACCAATGATATTCCTAATTGTAGTGGACTGGATTGTGCGTCAGACAGTGGGAAACGGGAAACGGACAGGGATATCCTTGACTGACGTGAAGAATCTAGAAGACCTGGATTTCGCACGTGGATGATTTATGTTTGATGTCACACAAAATCGAAGACTTACAAGCGAAAACCGACCGACTAACTGGTAGAAGAAGCAGCTGGCGAAGACAGGACTCCAGGTGAACATAGACAAGATGGAGGTTATGAAAATAACTAACCAACCAACAACAACAGCAACATCCAGCGCCAATCACCATCAACGGGGGGGATTTGAAAGAGGTTACTTCATTCACTTATCTTATCTAGGGAGCACTGTCTCAACCACAGGAAGTCGGAATGGACGAGGATGTCAAATCGAGCGAGAATCGGGAAGGCGAGAAACACATTCATCAACCTGAAACAACCAATCTAGAAATCTTCGTCACACAGCATCAACAACAAAATTCAGTCGGATTTTCAATACAAACGTCAAGTCAGTTAGTTCTTCTATACGGACGGATCAGAAACTTGGCGGGCGGGTCACAAAGAATATTTCCAACAGCCTGTTGCAGACCTTTATCAACCAACAACTGTCTTCGCTGGCTCTATACTGAAGATCAGATGGCTGGGCCGGAAAGAATCACCAACAAGAAACTATGGGAACAAACAAAACAAGAACCAATCGCCAACCAAGAAATATGCAGGAGAAAGTGGAGATGGATTGGACACTCGATCGCTGAGGAGACCGCTGGGTGACATCGCGCGCGCGTCATGCCATTTCTCGAGTGGAACCCGGCCGAAAGGGAAGCGGGGAGTGGAACGTCAGTGCAAGGGTGAGTTACATGGAGGAGATCGTGTGAAGTGAGGAGGAGTTGAAAGGGTATGGACTAACATGGATGCAGGTGAAAAGTAGAGCAGAAGGAAGACAGAAGCAAGTGGAGACATGCAGTTGAAGCCCTATGTTCCACTAGGAACCCAAGGGAACAATAATAATATAAATGAAATTGAATCTGAACGCATTTAAACACTTAGGTTGTAGGCTTTGACACCAGATTATAATTAACACCAGTTATTATTATGTAAACGGGTAGAATATAGTGTGAAATGCTAAACTAGAGAACATCTTGTATAAGTTACAACACCTTACCAAAAAGCAAGATATAGACTTACAAATATATATATATATATATATATATATATAAGGGATTCGCAAGAATAAAGACACGGTAGATATTGAATAGTATCGATAACTTTAAAGCCGGTAAATTGTATCTGTGTGTATGTGCACTGATCTAAATTCAAATCAGTGTTGTTTGTAGTTACTTATCCTTTAATCCCAGGACTAAATTCTTCTGATTATTCGTCGAAACACTAAGAAACTATGTCGACTAATGTAGGTACTGTCATCAGTCGTCATAGTGTGTATTTAACTGAATACAGAATCAATAATTTCATTTTTTTTTACTTTAAACTGGGAGAGTATGTTTATACGAGTTTGACCACGGATTGATATCAGTTAGATAACCAGTGGAAACTAGGGACAACTGTTGCTTACTAGTTTGTGACTCATCCATCGACAGTACGCGCCCACTGGGTTTCAAACTCAGGACCTTCTGGTCTGTCACAAGGCAAGCTCGTAGAGCATTCAGCCACTGGGACTCGATTCATCAATTGCCCATGAAATCTAGCTTCTACCAATTGAAATACTTAAATTATTTCTTGATAAGTAATCTGAACAAGTCGTGTTTAGAGGCATAAGACGCTCACTGCGAAAGTAAATCTGGACTATGTGAAACTTTTTTGACATGTAGGAATAAAATTTATCGAAGTGAATTATCTCATAACAACCCACTGGACATTGAAATTTTTTTTTTCAGTCAACTAGAGTATTCACCGACGTCGGCATATTACATATTTATGAAAACTGAAACTGTAAAACGCTTGAGATATGCCTGAAGTGTCTCATTATAAACAGTTTTATTATGTTTCTTTCATTTTGTTTCAAAATGACCTACTTTATCCAAATCCTAGGTCTCTTTGTCTGTGTGACATACTAAAGTTCACTGATGATTAGAAGAGGTAAGTAAGAGTGAGTCTCAGCGTCTATGGCACTTGACCGTGAGTCATTGTGTCTTGGGCCCTAATTCTACTTCAATTGGTGCAACCTTCGCCTAGATGCTACAATGATCTGTGTTTCTGTGTGTGGTTTTCAGTGTATCTATCTCTGCAAGTGATAACTAGTCATTCTTCTATAGACTAATCTCATGCTGCTTTTTTGATGGTTGACTTTTCCTTTATTTAGATCCTTTCAAAAAGAATCGAAACCTGTGCAGTAATGTGACTGCAGTTAGCCTAGATTATATTAATTCACAACTATTGGCTGCATATGGTTATTTCGGGGTACCACGTTTAGCCAAAAATGGTCGACATGTATTCACAAAAATATCTGTTGCTAAAGAAATCAATCTTGTAAATGAAGAGGATAAAGGTGATGGCGATAATGAAAATGAACATCAGGCGACTAAAACAAACACTGAACAGAATGAAAATACTACTACTACTATTAATAGTGCAAAAACCACACCTGAAAAAGGCACAAAAGTGAAGATTGTTCATATAATTCCAATCTTCGATGATTCAGATGGTTTTGTCAAGAATTTAAATAAAGTAGGTCAACATGCATACACGATCTTTTAATAGAATAATAATATGTATGTTTCTTGAAATATTTTTTCTGTTAATCATCGAAAGACTTGGCTTAGATGACTTTTCTACTGAATAGCTAGACTTCTGTCTGTCTGGATTCAACATAGAACTTGGCACCAAAATGCAGTGAAGAGAATCAATAGAGTTTGACAGGCATAAGAGCGAAACAGAATGGGTAATGGTAGAAAGAAATATGAAAGATTACAGAGACTGAATACATCTGCGCTGGCCATTGACAACGATGAGTTTGAGCCATGTCACCTATTGTCTCCAGCCATTGATTCCTAGAGTCCCGAGGGCCCCAACCCGGACGGAAGTCTGCATCTCCCTCCCTACCTGACTCAGTTTAACTGTCAAGGATTTCATGGATTGATGACATCCATGTTTTTGTTTGGCCAACACTTACTCTTTTCCAACCTGCACCTCTATATCAGTTAGTAATTCCCGTCGGGGGAGGCGATGGTTAGGCATGTGCAGCACTTGACCGACCTAGCCATCTCAATCTTTGTAACTTCATAGCCTCGTCGATTGATTTTCGCTCTTTACCCATAGAGAAGGACGGAGCGAACTACTGAGCAGTACACACATCCCTTGGTTGATAGCCGGATGCCACGCCTACGCCAGAGATGGTGTAAGTCAGCGAAAGCAGCTCGAGCTTTTTGGATCCGTGCTGAGATTTCGTCGCCAATCAGTCCATTGGTGCTGATACAACTTCCCAAATAGGTGAAGTGGTCAACATGTTCTATCGCTTCACTCCCTATCACTAAGCTAGGTGGGAGTTGACGTAGTCCAGTCCTGTAGCAGCATCTTACATTTTACAGGGGCGAATCGCATTCCAAACATACGAAGATTGCTGCTCAAGGTGTTCAGAAGACTCTGCTGCATTTTGTCAGCATCCTCCCCTAACAGGATTATGTCATCTGCATATTCTAAGTCCATAAGACTATTTCTTGGTAACAAGTCGATTCCTAAGTCGTTACGTTCAGTTAAGGATACTTCCATTAGCATATCTATGGTGAAGTTAAACAGAAATAGGGAAAGTGGACATCCCTGTCGGACACCACTGGTTGTAACTAGACTTCAAGTCGTTGTGGTTAGTTTTGTAGTCATAATTCTTTCCTTACACTGATGGATGTTGCTTCGAGTATGCGGACAACCATAGTGTTGTTCGTAATTTATGTTTATCTATGTATTAATGAAACTGTTTTTTCAACCAAATCTACTATCATTGTTCTCTTATTGGAAATTATTAATCAATTTTAAATGCTTGTAGTTATTGTTCCTTTGGATTAGTTTTGTGTGACCTACGTGTGAATTAGATTGTAGTGGAGCGCGTCACTGCCATTTCACAGGGTTGCGGGTTCGAACCCTGCTGCTGTATCTTTGGAGGTTTAGACAACCAGATAGTATTACTCACCCTCGCACAATATGTTAATTGTGTAAAAAATACAAGTGGTTGTTGAGTAGTAACACACACATGACTGTGATTTCCTAGTGTACTGAAATTGCCTTTCAAAGCGTCATTTCAATTTTTTATTTTTCCATCAAAGCTTAGTCAAGACTGTCAGATCCGCTGGTATGGATGGTATTTGCGCCTAAAAATTTGAGTTAAGTCTGTTAGCCTGATCTGATCTGTATCGATACAATTATTAAAATATGACTAGTGATAATAATAATAGCTCTATCATGAAAAAATGTGTTCGTATATAACACAGAATTATCAGTAGGTACCATTTTGAATAGTGCGTCGGGTGGCACAGTGGTTAGGACGTTCGCCTACCATGCACATAGTCCAGAGTTTGATTCCCGGCCTACGCACTCCGACACCTCGCTAAGCCAGTAATAGAACTGGCAAAGAGGAAAGGTTGAGCATGAGGCTAGCAAACATCACTGCTACCGAGCTACTTCATGCCTCTAGCTTGAAGCCCTATGTTCCACTGGAAACGTGAAAGAATAAAAAAACACCATTTTGAATAGTATTCATTGCTTATGTGGAATCTTCAAGCAATTAATAATTGGTGCTACCTCATTCAAATGAATGTTGTTCTACCTGAAGCACGCTTTAGTAACCTGTCATGCTTTGTATCCATTTTCTACGAAAAATTCACAACACTAGGTAGATTGTGAAACCTATTTAAAAATTGGCTTGAGTACAGATTATACGATTCAAAGGTGTAATTGAATAATAATTAAAACAACATAAAACTGGAGTAAATAAAATGCATTTTGATGGATAGAAAATCAGTTTGCCCGGTAATTTGAACAGACTAACAGTACATGTTCGAGCCTTTAAAGTGATTAGCTTCAAGTCTGATGGTGTTTTAAGAATGATATATATGCAAAAAATCTGTATAGAAAAAAAACAAGGCTATTGACTGATTAAATGGACTGGATTTTTAGTGAATCTGGATTTCTGGCTTGCGATTAGTAGAATGTTGAAATCAGCCTCAGTGAACTGAATGCCTCTATATTTTTTTCACTTTCCATTTTACTAAACATTGATTTGGTTTTGTTTTGTACTATTGTTTTCTTACTAAGATGTTTAGAAGACAAAAGAGAAAGTTTGAGCAAACAAACAACGATTTCTGAGAAAGTGTTTCGTCTAACCTACTACATTAAGAAACTCAGACTAACTGGAGTCACTCAACCTCTGCTTTCACAATTTGTCAACTCTCGTATCCTACCTATTCTACTTTACTGCTCCCCGTTAGTCTTCCTGGGTTACCGAAAAAGGAGTATACCATCCTGAGAAGGATGTTGAAGGTAGTTAGTAGGACTAGTGGTGTAAAACTCAGTCAGTTCGTCACTACATTAGTAGATAAGCATCTGAATACATGCGAGAAATGGTCTAAAACCATACTCTCTGACCCCCAACACCCCCTCTATTCCCAACTCTCTCCTTGTATCTCATCAGGTAGAACCAGAAATCAGTACAAAATAATATATGCTCGCACAACCAAGTATAGAAACTCAACGATACCATATTTGGCCAGCCCATGTTCTAAGTGACAGAGACAATGTTAAGCGCGAAACCTATGACTTGCTTTGTTGTTAATAACATAATTTTGGCCCTTGTTATTTCCCCCTTATACTCTCTTATTTGTACTCTATGGTGAACAACCTTCTTAAACATACTTAGCTACCTAAAATTATTATCATTGCCTTACTTTTTATTCTTTATTCTGTTCCTTCTTTTGTGTATCTACTGGGTCCGACTATATTATCACTATGAGTATTAAAAAATTATCCTGTCATTAACCATCATGTAATATTAGTTTTGTGATTGTTTTTTATTTGTTCGGCAATATTAAACTGACAGTCTTGGTTGTGAACACCGTTATCACCATCCTAAAATTTTTGTATTATGCAGGATTACTCGCACTAACACAACAAACACTGCATTAATGCTGACAATAAAAAAAAAACAACCTGAAATGTTTATTTTATGATTGTTTAGTGTAGTCCAATCAAATTAACTGATCATCTCGGCGATAAACATTCTAGAGAACATTTCATAACTTCTTGTATGATTATAGCTGTAACTGTTCACCCAGCATACACATATCATAGCCTCCACTACCAAATACTGAAAAATTATTCATTTTTGGTGTTTATCTTCCTTTCTACTTGGTATTTTTTTAAATACCGTCGATTTGTTAAGATCATTGAAATTACAGTTCAAGAAAGACACTTAAGTTATAAGCATAAAAATGTAATAGTAAATAGAACATTAATCAAAATTAATGAAATGTCTACAACAAATTAAGATTAGTTGAAACCTTGATGGCCAGCGGGGTAAGGAAAACGTCTGAACCAACCTTTTTTGGATACGTAGATTAGGCTTCTTAATGTAGATTCCAACAGCCTCGGCAACATGTAATTGCCGAACTCTTGAGGTTCTCCTTTCTTAATTTCTTCTTATGTTTATGTCTAGCAGCTCCTTTTTTAAATATCTTGATCAGACAGTTATTAAATAAAGTAAGATACGAGTGACAGTTCAACTTATGAATGTGTATTTCTTTGATAATTATTATGTGGAATTAATTGTTTATATTGGTTTTCTGTAGTTTCTGGCGTTGTAGGATCACATGGCATTCATTTACTCTAAACACTGATGAAATAACAAGCTGTTTACTTAGATTGAACTCAATTACCTGGAACAGATTTTCATATATCAGGCTAAATGCCACACCTGTCGTGTAAGGGCTGATGATACTAAGCAGTTGCCTAGGCTGATGTAGGTGGAACGAGAGTCGACCACCCAACCCACCGATTGAAAACTAAGTGTTTAAGTGAATGAGTCACATCTTCAACTATGTTTGCTTAAATAAGAGTTTCGTTAAGCATTTTTTCAGTTATTTCACCTTACGACAAACAGTCGATGAGTTTTCTTATATATATATATATAGCTTAATTCTTTATGTTAAATTTTGTGTTCGTCTCACGCAGTTTACGGATTTGCTCATCCATGCTGAGTTTGAAAATTTTTATATGTTGTTTTCTTTCGTCTGTCTGTGTGTCTATCTATGTGTGTGTGTGTGCATGTGATAACATGGATCGATGCATTCCTATGCAAAGTTTTACGTTGGGTTGTCACTGTCCTTAGATTTATACAGGAATCCATTTTAATCTGATTTAGTTATTGTTATGATGTCACTACTTTTATATTTGCAATACTTTGGTTAAGTTGAATAGGGTTGCCGAGCTGGACAAAGATGTGATGATCAGGAATGCCGCTTGACTACCTCGACAACATTATACGACAATTACCTGTTTCTCCTACGGGCACTACTTAAGCGAGAATACACAACGACATGAGATGAAGAGTATATTTCAATATCAGAGTATATTTCATTGGATTTTAGATTTCCCTGTCGATTAACTGGATCGAAGGGCTTGGAATGCAGGTACATCCAGTTAACTGACGAGTCCCAAATAGGACGAAATGCGCATCCTGGATCCCACTGCTAGTCATCATCCACCAATTAACTTCAGTCAGAGTTTATTTATCAAAGGAAACAATTATATATATATATATTGCTGTCAAAGTGTCGACAGTGAACAGATGGCAGAATAGATATGTATTGATTTTTAGATTCATTGTGAAGTCTTGACTGTGGATATAGACCATAATCAGCTGATTGGTCTTGATGTCAACAAATTGAAATCTACCAATCAAATAGCGTGTAAGTGGCGTATACACTAGACTGCCAGCGTAATAACTATATCCCAGTAAAAATAGATTCCCGTATGTTGGCCCACAGCAACAACAACAACAGATAACAATCAGTCAGCGTAAATGGGAGGAACCTGAAAGAAACAACCTCCTTTACCTACCCACCTACCTGGGAAGCATCGTTTCAACTACAGGCGTAACTGACGAGGATATCAAAGCCAGAATCGGAAAAACAAGGCAAGCTTTCATTACTCTCAAGCCTGTGTGGAGTTCAACATCACTTAGCGTGAAAATCAGAATAAGATCCGGATTTTCAACTCCGATGTGAAGTCAGTGCTACTTACTATACGGATCAGAGACTTGGCGCGTCATAAAGAGCACCTCAAACAAACTTCAAACCTTCATTAACAGTTGTCTTCGCTCAATAATCAAGATCAAATGGCCGGCCAGAAAAGATCAGCAACAGGGATCTCTGGCAATGAGCAAACCAACCAACCAACCAGGAACCGATTGTGAAACAAATAGGCAGGAAGAAATGGAGATGGATTGGCTATATTCTGAGAAGAGGAACCATCAAGCGACATCACTAGATAAGCCGTCTGGTGGGACCCGAATGGGAAGCGGCGAGTTGGTTGTCAGTGTGAGGGTGACATGGAGGAGGTCATTTGAAGAGGATATGAAGACATGTAGGGAGACTTGGAGCCAGGCGAAAACTCTAGCAGAGAACCGAATGCGATGGAGACGCGTGGCTGAAGCCCTATGTTCCTCTAGAAATTAAAGGATATAATAATAATAATAATGTTGGATATCAGGGCCAATCAACAGATTATAGCCTTTCTTTACTCCCTATACTACCTGGGAAACTTTAACTATCCATATAGTCAACTTTCTTCTACTTTGAATTCTATTTCCACTATTTAAGTTCCGTATCCTTAATGCATTAGGCAGCATGACTTTTCGACTAATGCTTGAAGATTATAAGTATGTTTTTTTACTGAATTGCACGTGTTATTTAAAATCGTTTGTATATATTTATTAATGTGAACACATTCATCATAGATAAGATTTTATATTGACAAATCACACAGTGTTATACAATAATATTATTAACTGATGACGTTTCGAGCACAATTTATTGCCACTTATATTCATATCAAAGTCATTCACACAACTTTTTACTATACATACATGAGTGGAATTGATTACATATTTGAATAAAAATCAATATAGGATAATGTACATTTAGAATTAATAATAATAATATGAGTGTTATTGATCAAATACAAGCAGATGAACACATTCAAAAGATAAAATGATTTTGTGTATTTGTCTCTTACTATTAATAAATTCTTTTTTCGTTTTTTTTTGTATTCCTAAATTACTCAGGTAACAAACTTGATCAGTGAAAAATTCCATTCACTTTCAATTGCTAGAAATAACATTGATGCATTCGAATCTTTGGGAAGTGAAGATCTAGTGAATTCATTGAATGATCAAAATAATAAATTGAAAACTCTTCCATTATCACAAATGCTTCCACATTTTCTCTACTGTGTTATGGATGAATTATTTGAATCAGTTGATGTTCCTGGTGTGTTCACCAACTTTTTATTGTGTTCTTATTTTTTTTATTTTTTTGCGTTCCACAGTGGAACATAGAACTTCAAGCTAGAAGTTTAAAGTTTCGGTAGCAGTGGTATTTATTTTTACGGTTTGAGATTGCTAATCTCACACCCAACATTCCCTCTTTGCCGAGCTTATTACCAGTTAAACGAGGTTTAGGGATGCGTCACCTGGGAATCGAACCCCACACTACCTGATTGGCTGGAGTGCATTCTACCTCTGTACCACAGACACAATGGCTCCCGCCCCGGGGGTCGAACCCGGGCAGTTTGGGTGAGAGCCAGGAATCCCAACCGCTACATTTTTATACACAATATGTTTATACATATACATAATTATTGAAAATGCCATTTTACCATTGAACAGAAATATTCTGAATATCACTGTACTACTCCGTATTTCACAGTATAAACTTAACTGACTAACGAAAGTTACGGATTGAGTTCAGAAACTCAAGGAATCCTTTAATTTCAGCACCTGGAATATTACTTTCTTGTGATGGTCTTCATACTGTTATTTTAGGCGAAACAATAAGAAAAAGGGAAATCTTACTCTAAATGTGATTAGATAACTTTTATTATTAAAGTTATGACAAATTGTTTCTGTTTATCGTGACGGTAAATGTTATTATGAACCATTGGACTTCCTTAGTAGAATCCATTTATTCTCATATTTCACTTGACAAATAGTCACTGATAACAATAATTGATGACAAATCCACTTCGTGTATTGAAAGAAGGTAGGAATTATAGTTCATTTGATCCAAAACAGTAACCTGCACATCTCATAAACTGACGTTTCTTTACTCTATCCACCTCACCAATTTCTGCCTGTTCACTGTTAAAGAGTCTCAAGCTGTAATAAAATATTCGTCTTGTGCTTTTTGGTTTCTACTAGTTTCCTTATTGATTCCGATGCGTGATCGAATCACCTTGAGATGGGTCAAATCCATGCCGACCTCATATTTTTGATTATTTGACAGCTTTGTTAGTTTTCTATAGTTTGGTTTGTAAGGGTTAGTTTTGTTTTTACGAGTTGTTTACGGATTGATATCAGTTAGAGAACCATTGAAAACCAACAGGGAGTACTGGACAGCTGTTTCATCCTAGTTTGGGAATAATCGGCAGTACGCACCCACTGCCAGTGTTCGAACCCAGGACTTTCCGGTTACCAGCCAAACTCGTTAGTGTTAAGCCTGAGTTTCTAAAGCTTCTTTAGCTTAATGGAAGGTCTTATGACTGAACTATCCAGATTAGATGATAATCCAACAATTCTTTTGATGTTTGATGAATATTCTCTTCTTCTTTTTTGAACATTGTTCTGTAGCCTACAAGTATAAAATACAATTAACTATATTTTAAAATATCATATTCTAAAGCATTCATTATTTCTATCTCTGGTTCATTGGATAAAATACATTAAAAAAATATTCAAGATTTAGTTCGTAGGGATTTCGTTTGTTCCAGTTTTGATCACAGACTGATGTTAGTTAGAGAACCATTGAAAACTAGTGAGTATTGGACGGCTATTTTGTCCCATTAAGTAGGATGTTTTCATCATTATGTACCCACTGCCCCACAGTTCGACAAATTCAGGACCATTACACCCGACAATGACATTGGTTGACGTTAGGGCTAAAATCGCGTTCTTCTGGAGAATAGAATTCTGAGCTAGGAAGAAACAGTTGTCCAATACTCTTCTTGTTTTCAATGCTTCTTCTAGCTGACATCAATCCGTGATCAAACTTAAAGCATTAAAAGGCCTTTACCATAGATACTTTTCATTGCTCTTCTATGTTTTGTATTGACATATTAATTAATGTGTTCAAAGAAGTTTAATTTCTTTTTTCCTTTTCAAAACAGTGTTTTGTTCTTAGGATAAATGGATATTTAATAGATTATAGGATTTCATCATGAGTTGACAGTTGTTAGAGGACCACTGAATGCTTACTCGCGGCTGGCCCTATTCAGGTGGGAAGTCGTGACCAGTAAGGAACAGCAGATCGGTCGGGCGTGATGACAAGTACTCGCCGAAGACATTGGCTAGTAGTCGCGTTATTTCGTGAATGCGCAAGAGTTGGAATTCATGAACCAGTGGATTAATGGTCTGTAAGCTCGCTGCCCTTGTAACCGGAAGGTCCTAGGTATGAATCGTAGTGGTGGGTGCGTACTGTGAAGAGTCCCAAGCTAGGACGAAATAGCTGTCCAGTACTGTCAGCTTGTTTTTCAATGGTTCGTCAACCGATGTCAGCTCATGATGAAATCCTGTAACCAGTCAATCGAGTCCCTACAAATTAATACTTGGATATTCAATAACAATATACATCACTGAACATCAAGTTCGAATAACATTAGTCAGCTACTGAATCAATGGCTGAAGACAATAGGTGACATGGCTCAAAATCGTTGTCAATGGCCAGCGCAGATGTATTCAGTCTCTGTAATCTTTCATATTTCTTTCTACCATTACACATTGTGTTTCGTTCTTATACTTGTCAAACTCTATTGATTCTCTTCACTCATCTTTTTGTCTACCTTTGTGTGCTATTTGGAACGTGGCAACTGGAACTGGTGCACTTTGGTGCCAAGTTCTATGTTGAATCCAGACAGACAGTTATCTACTTATATATATATATATATCTTGCGAATAATGTACTGAAGTATATTAGCAAATACCACTGTCTTAAACCAATGGTTTTCGCTTTATTGCCAAGATGGGAAAATTATGACGTCATTCAGTGAATACTTTTGTTAACTGTTGATGACTTTTCACCAAGCTTTATAAGTTCTAGGCTCAAAATCCATTATAGTTTAGTGAATTCCAGAACAGATGGAGGGTGGGAATTATGTTTGTTGATATTTTTTTAAGAATAACTGATAATGAGAAGTATATTTCTGCAGACATCGTTACGCAACATTCGCTTTAGCTTAGGAAGGTGGTTGGTCCCTTCCTCAATTTGTTACATTCGCTACGGTTGAGAGTTCTTTTAAAGTTTTTTATTTCATCTTTTTTTGTTGTTCTTTCTATGATTAATTTCAAGAAATTCCTGTTTTTGAATACTGGTGTGATTCATATCTCTTTTTAGAATATAGGATGATTGTTTGCTGATGAAAATTCTACCAAAATGAACACAAAACCTTTACGGATTATTGTGTATTCAAATACTACTACTACCACAGAAACATTCCTATTTAATCCCTGTGCATATAGAGTATAACCAACTAAGAAAGCATATTTGATAGGTTAGGCGAAAATTGGTTATGATGTTAGTAGTGTATCTTTGTTACTAAGATTAGTACATGCTGTATGCAACTGTACTAGTTTGTTTGCCATAATCTGATCCGTTTTAGCACATAATCCTGAAGTTTGTTTATTAAAAATCCATTCTGAAAATAACCCGTAGAAATGTTTCTTTCCAGATTTCGGATTCCTTCAGCGCTTTCATCAAATCCGTCAGTATATTTGAGTTGTTTATAATTTTGAAATTGAATTTTAGATTTTCCCGTCGATTGATTGGACCGAAGTGCTCGGTTTCAGGTTGACATGGTGGCTTCATGTTCAGACGCTTTGATGATGTCTGGGCATGTGATTAGAGGTCAGTTGGTGTATGGTGACTAGCAGTAGAATCCAGGATGCGCACTTCGTCCTATTTGGGACGCGCTATCTGGATGTGCCTGCATTTCGCAGTTACATGCCCAGACATCGTCGAGGCGTCTGCACAAAAAGCCGACATGTCAACCTGAGACCGAGCACTTTGGTCCAATCAATCGACAGGAAAATCTAAAATTCAGTTAAATAATTAATATGACCGGTTGCACAAGAGTTGGCTCTCGTGGCCTAAGTAGTGTAGTGGATAACGCTTTGACGTTTGGAAATATGGGCACTGGGTTCGAGCCTCGGTGGGAACATCATCACTTACTGGGTACACCCTGTTAGCTGATGAGTCCCAAATAGGACGAAATGCGCGTTGTCCTGGATTCCACTGCTAGTCAACATCCACCAATTAACCTCTGTTTATAGTTTTATTTTTTATATTTCTTTGTGTTCCGATAGGGAAGTAGGGCTTGCAGTTTGAGCTTTGAAGACTTAGTAATAGTGTGGTGTTATTCTTTCTTTCTTTTTTACTGAGTGGGGTCTGTAGCTTCACATCCAGTCCTCCTTCTTTGCTTGACTTACTTAAGCCCAGCTTGGTGAGACTTAGCGGTGGGATTGACCGGGAATCGAACTCCGGGTCACGTGACAGCGGTTGTTATACTGCTGAACTACCGACTTAAACATCGTTACAAGTAGATACCATAATTATATCAAATTCATGATTTTAGAAACTGTTAAGTATTTCAAACATCCTTATATACCTTTTAACTTGATAAAATCAAGCGAAGGATAGATTGACAATCGACAAATCAAACATAACTGAATTACAAAACCAACAACCTAGTGATAGGGTTGTACGAGCTTTCGTAATTTTTTTTAGTTAATTTTATCTTCTATTAATTATCATTGCCTAGAATTCATTTTATTCTTCTATCTGATTTCTGTGTACATTTTTCTCTCTTTTATTTTTCATCTCTTATTATATTAATAGGTCTTGTCGCGGCATGTTCAAATTTACCACAATCGAAGTTTTTCTTACCGTTGACAGGATCAGATGAGATGACATTATCCGATTTTAATTGGATTGCACGGAATTATGCTTACAGGTTTTGGTTAAAACATTTCAATTTGTATGTATCGAAGGGAATATATACAGTACAGAAAAGAAAAGTTGTAAGATGTAGCACTTTTCTGTTCAGAATGGTAGGTGTTTTAAACCATGTACTTAACTTATAATTATTATTTTACCTAATATATTTTTTTTAAAAAGAAAAACGCATATACTTTTACAACACCTTATTGAAAACTATTGGAAACTTCTAAACACCTTGAACTGCAACCTACGAATGTTTGGCATGCGATTTGCTCCTGCGAAATGCAAGATGATGTTACAGAACTGAACTACACCGACTCCTAGATTAGAAATAGGAAGTGAAGTGGTACATCACGTTGACCGCTTCACTTATTTGGGAAGTACCATCAGCCAACCCCAACGGGTTGATCTCTGACGAGATCTCAGAATGGATACAGAGGGCTAGTTTCGCATATGTCAGTTTACACCGTCTCTGGTGTAGACGTGATATCCGGCTGGCTATCGACCAAAGGGCGAGTGTACTGCTCATCAGTCCTCTCCATCCTCCTTTAAGGCTGGCTGTGAGACCAGGCCATTGAGAGTGGAAGACATGAAAAGATTAACTGTCTTTGATCATAGGTGCGTGCGTTTTATCTCCTGTGTGAAGTGGTATAATAAGGTGAGCAATATTGAGGTTAGGCATCGGTCGAGTTCTAGGTAAGGAGGGAGGGGAAATCAATCGACGAAGTTGTGAAGTGACATCGACTGAGATGAGATGGTTAGGACATGTGTTACGTATGCCTAGTCATCGCCTTCCTCGACGAGCAATGTTAGCGGATATAGGGTCAGGCAGGAAAAGAGCTATCGGCGGCCCAGCCAAAACATGGCTTCAGTCAATGAAATCTACAACAGTTAGTCTAAGCCACGTAGGAAGGTGTAGACTTCCAGTCTGGTTGGGGTCCTCGGGACGTTAAAAACCAATGACTGCAAACAATTGGCGATATGGCTCAAAGTTATCGTTCTCAATGGCCAGCACAGATCCATCCACTCCTAGTGACTTATGATTTCCAATGAAACTGTTTTGTTCTTCGTTATTACTATTATTCCTTTGTCTAACACCTCTGTTTACCGTCTCTATTATGCTTTTCTTGTACTTTCTTCTCTTGGTTTGTGTGGTTCATGGAGTGGAGTGTTGGCGACTTGAACTGGTGCACATATGTGCAGAGTACTATGTTGGAAACAGACAAATTGACAACTGTTTAATGGCGTTTAAAATGCTAAATGGCCGATTGCAGTTTGATTGGTATTTAACTGTTTTTTTAAAAAAAATAAACTTTTGTAAATTCCTCTTGGTACAGTCTTTATCAATACACTTAAACCATTCAGGTCATCAGCAAATTGTTGGTGGTTGATATGTAGATGACCCGTTAGTAATGGTGGAAAAAAACGATAGTGAGAAATTCTTCTCACACATAAAGAGTCATGTCGATTCAATAAAATTGTCTATGGAAATAGAGAATTAAATTGGGGAACTGCCAATGTCAGACTACAAAATACAAAGAGTAACAGATGGTAGGTAGCACAAAAAACGACGCTATATAGAAAAACTACACATTCTGTGAGATTCATTGATTATCACTCAGCTCATCCACTTAGGGTAAAACGAGGATTAATACAAGGTCCTGTAGATAGAATACGTAGACTTACAACAACACGAGATGGCCAGCGTAAAGAAATAAACGTACCGCTCAAAATGTAACTCGACAACAATTACCCAAAAGAATTTATTAGAGACAATATAAAGGAGAGAAAAAGGAGGGTAAAACCGGAGAACAACAAGATGGAGGAAGGCAACAAAATAGTCACAATACCATACAAAAATGGTACATCATAGGCAATTCGAAGAAACCTCAAAAATATTGGGACTTGCACCACGTTTAAACCGACGAATCTAATTAAAAATAAGATAAATCAACTGAAAGATCCCATAAAAATGATGGATAAAAACAATGTAATTTACAAAATATCTTGTCCCGTGAGTCCGACTGAATATGTGGGTCAAACGTCTAGATCACTCAAAATAAGAGTGAATGAACATAAACGCCGAACTAAAGGTCAACCAACAGGAACGCAAGCTTACAAGAATTTAGGAAAAAGTTCATCTATGGCTGCACATGCGTGGGACAAAAACCACAATATCGATTGGAACAATGTATGTATTCTAAAAAGTAATGTGAACAAATGGAAAGAGAGAGTTGTAACGGAATCTATATTCATTAAGGTCACACCGGATACATGTAACAAGGGTGACTCAGCACAACTGTCAACTACCTGCAATATAATTCTGAATACACAAGAATGAATGAACAAAACAAATGAACTATATATATATGAGTACAAATCATGAATGTGTGAATTAAAAATCAAAACAACTCCAACAGTTGGTGTGAACATGGGCAGTAATTTTGCTCGAAATGTTACCAATAACAAACACTTATCATTGTGTGTGAACTATTAAAACATAATTATACTTAATTTGATCTGCTCCACATTGCTCAAACTTTTTACTGACATGAAGGCAGTAACCTATGTCAAATCCCCCGTTGGTGGTGATTGGTGCTGGTTGTTGTTGTTTCTGTTGGTTGGTTATGATCATTTCCTCCATCTTCTCTGTGTCCACCTGGAGTTCTATCTTCTCTGCCTGCCTCTTCAGCCAGTTTGTTTCTTTTTGCCTGTAAGTCTTCGAGTTTGTGTGACATTAAATGCAAATCATCTGCGAAATCCATATCTTCTAGAGCCGTCTTGTCGCTACAATGTATTCCTGTCTTCTCACACCCTGTTCACAGTCTGACGCATGATCCAGTCCACTGCAGTTAGGAATATTCATCACTTCAAACACCCCGCCGAGTTTTCCTTTATGGATCACCTGACAAGTGGAATTGTCATATAACCAGCTGTTGAATGCGATCGATAAAGATTCACGGCACTGCACACCGTAGTGTTGAAACAGTTTCCAGATTACCTCTTGGTCAACGCTGTCTGTCGAAGGACTTTTCGAATTCGATGAACTTGAGGTAGAAAGAGGTTTGACTGCTATTCTATGCTTTGTCAAATAACATTAGAAGAAATGTTCCAATATTTTCTTGTTGTTTATACTTTTCATATCGATTCAGTGAACTGCTTTTTCCCTTCCCCCTCGTCATTTGTTGTGCATTATTTTTTGTTCATTATAGAGTCTCAAAAGTTGGCTATCTACCCTTGACCCATTAAAAAAGACTGTCAATTCAACTAACGACGATGCTAACATACAAGAAGGAAATGGTGCTGCGTTACAAGTATGTTTTATTTCTTAGCTATGAAATTAAGTCAGCGGTCTTAGGGAATACACACACCTTTGAAGTAATTGTTTTTTTTAATGAATGAATCATAGTTATCTGTTTAATTTTCGTTTTTTCACTAAAATTAAAAGTTCATTGGCATTTAGTAAATAAATGAACCTATTTGCAACAATGATTGGATACGAGTATTACGGCATCCTGTGACACTCACCGTCTTCCTCGACCAACAATGTTGGTTGATTCAAAATTACAGGATTTCATCACGACCTGACATCAGTTAGATAACCACTGGAAAACCTGGGAGTACTGGACAGCTGTTTCTTCAGCCTAGTTTGGGACTCTTCATCAGTACGCACCCACCGGCCAGGGTTCGAACCCAGGACCTTCTGGTTACGAGCTTGCCTTGTAACCATAATATCACAATTTTCATAACATTGATTTTGTATCTTCTTTTCGTTCATGAAATCATAGTATTGTAATTATTTTATCTGGTTGTGTACATTTTGTTTTTATTCATCCATTTTCAACTAAACATTATGATAAAGAGGCTGAGTGAGTGCACTATCGAATTCGTTGTCTGTCCTTATTCGTCAAAATGGTGGGTGGTCAGAGCAGTGCTGCTGTCTTCAATAAAGCTTATTGATCAAATAATATTAAGCCTACCAGATATTGTTATTTTTTAAGAAATTTTTCTATGCTTTGAAGTTACTGTAGCGATTTCATTGATTTCCGGGGGTAAGTATCGCTAGCCCCGTGGTTATTAAATCAGATGAGATAATTTGGAAATTGCCTCAACACTATGGAGCGCTGCAAATCTTTGTTAGCCTCACTTTAACAGCTGTATGATAATGCCATATGTCAAATGATTCATCACATCAGGAAAGTACAGCGAAAGCTTTGAGGTGAGGATATAAGTAAGAGACAAGGTTGTCTGCTATCACCGATTACATTCCTGATTGTAATGGACTGAATCATGTGGCAGGTTATGGGGATTGGGAAGATAGACATGCTTTTAATCAGGGAAGAGACTTTGGAAGATCTTGACTTCGCGGATAATCTATGTGTCATGTCACACAAACTCAAAGATTCACAGGCGAAAATAAACAAACTGGCAGAAGAAGCAGTCAAGATATGACTTCAAGTGAACATATAGAAAACAGAAGTGATGGAGATACCAAGCCAACAACAATAAGCATCAGTCATCATCAACGGGAGAAATATGAAATCACCTCTTCCACTTATCAAGTCAGCATCACTTCGACTACAGATCTGTCTGTTTTCAACATAGAACTCTGCGCATATGTGCACCAGTTCAAGTCGCCACACTCCACTCCATGAACCACACAAACCAAGAGAAGAAAGTACAAGAAAAGCATAATAGAGACGGTAAACAGAGGTGTTAGACAAAGGAATAATAGTAATAACGAAGAACAAAACAGTTTCATTGGAAATCATAAGTCACTAGGAGTGGATGGATCTGTGCTGGCCATTGAGAACGATAACTTTGAGCCATATCGCCAATTGTTTGCAGTCATTGGTTTTTAACGTCACGAGGACCCCAACCAGACTGGAAGTCTACACCTTCCTACGTGGCTTAGACTAACTGTTGTAGATTTCATTGACTGAAGCCATGTTTTGGCTGGGCCGCCGATAGCTCTTTTCCTGCCTGACCCTATATCCGCTAACATTGCTCGTCGAGGAAGGCGATGACTAGTGAAGCTACATCGACTGAGATGGTTAGGACATGTGTTACGTATGCCAAGTCATCGCCTCCCTCGACGAGCTATGTTAGCGGATATAGGGTCAGACTGGAAAAAAGCTAGAGGCGGTCAAACAAAAACTTGGCATCAGTCAATGAAATCCACAACAGTTGGTCTAAGCCACGTAGAAAGGTGTAAACTTCCAGGCTGGGGTCCTCGGGACGGTAAAAATCTATGGTTGGAAACAATTGGTGACATGGCTCAAAATCGTTCTCAGTGGCGCAGATGCATCCATTCCCTGTGACTTAAGATCTTCAATGAAACTGTTTTGTATTTCTTTATTACTCCTTTGTCTCACACCTCTGCTCACTGTTTCTATTATGCTTTTCTTGTACTTTCTTCTCTTGCTTCGCGTGCTACACGGAATGTGGCGACTTGAACTTCCGCACATTTGTGCAAAGTTCTATGTCGAAAACAGACAGACAGACAGAGCATACGTAACACATGTCCTAACCATCTCAGTCGACTACAGATGGCACAGGTGAAGATTTCAAACGGAGAAGATATTCAGATAAGCAAGAAAGATTTTCATTGTTCTTAAATTTGTGTTTGTGTGTGTGAAATCTGTAACACTCAGCATAATAAACAACATCGGCATTTCGAACTTTATATTGTTCAGAAACACTGTCAACTGGATGCTGCAAATTTTCATCGGCAGCTGCCTCTGCTGGATAGTGAAGACAAGATGTTCGGCCAGGAAGGATAAGAAACAAGGGATTCTGGGAAGGAACCAACTAAGAAGCTATCGCCCAATAAATATATTCAGGAAGGAATAGGGGTGGATCAGACACGCACTGAGTGGACCCTTGAATGAAATCATTGACCAGACCCTCGAGTGGAATCTGGATAGGCAGGGTGTGGATTCGAGGGTAAGACAGAGTAGATCGTGTGAGGAAAAAATGAAAGCTTTTGGCCAGCGGTGGAGCTAGGTGGAAGGGAAACTTACAAAACAGGATGGAATAGAGACATACTGCTAAAGCTCTTGAAACGCCAAGACACTACTAAGAACAACTTCAACCAACGTATTTTATTTTAAATGAGTTCAATCAGTCGATGTGCATTTACGTGTTTAGACTCGTTATTTTCTTTTTGCTTGTGTACTAATTACTACGGATGCTTTTATCTGTGTAACAGTCCCAACCTTGAATAGGCGGGTTAGATCTAAACTGCTTAGATTTCACTAGCAAAAATGAAATGCAAAGATAAATATGTTGTTTATATATAAAATGACAATTAAGTATTTAGTTTGTAAATGAAATTACTTGCTAGTCAGTCAGTCGCCTACTCAAACAAATTTGATTCAGTAACAATTTCATTGTTTTAAGTTGTATTTCCCCCCCCAAATTAATGCTCATTTCCCCCTCTCTCTCTCTTTCCTACGCTCACTACTGCTTTTAGAAACAGAAGAATCAGATGAAAAGAAATGCGAAAGATCATATTCACCACTAACTGTTCAAACAAAGGATGATCAAATCTCTGACTCTCAAATCATCAATAAAAAGAATATTATCACTGATAAAATAAGTCAAGAGAATGACAATAAACGTGTAGAAGGTGGTAAAAAAGAAGAAGGCAAAGAGAATTCTTCGAGATCAGAAAATTTCAATAGTCCAAATAGTTATACATTTTCCGATGAAGATGATGATCAGGAGCTAGATGAAACTGATGAAATTGATAAGTTATCAATGGATGTGAATGATGGTGATGAATATGTTACACCTGATGAAAAAGTTTTCCTAGATGATAATTGCTTTATTAATAATGATGAAATGAATGAAGAATTAGAAAGAACACTTGAATTAGGTGATGATGATGAATTAAATGAAAGTTCAATAGATCCATGTACTACCTTATCATCCTTTATTGATAAAAGTTCAGATGGTATTCACTGTTCAATTGTACATGAAAGTCGTACTACTGGCAATGATGAAACTGAGGTATGATAGTTTACACATACAGTTCATATTTTTTTTTGTTTTAATCTTGCATATTATTTCTAATTTTATATATTTCTTAGTTAACTGTAATCATTAATCTTCTATTTTATAAGGATATTAATAGTATTGCTGTATGCGTCAATAGGAAGTAAAATGCCATCGTAACTGTTTAATACTGTGATATAAGAATAATACTTGTGCACTGTGGTAGAGTGTAATTCCATTATGGGTAAAGTTTTGTTTTGATAAAGTCTCACAGTGTTATACAGTAATGTTTACTGATGACCACGTTTCGAGCACAATTTATTGCCCTGCTCATAATCATATCAAGGTAATCATACGACTTCCTAAATTCATTTATATAGAGTTCCATTGTGTTTCACTTGATTTGATTGGCAGTAGTATTTTCCATATTTTGGGTATGAGTGATGAATCATTCATGTTGCATCCGTTAACTATTAAGGCAGGCTTAGTTAAGTGTTTAACAAATCGAGCAGTAGCACAAGAAAAGATCTAAATGATGAAATAAAACAGATAGAAGAGGCGTTGGTGTTAAATAACTAGCTATCCTATAAAATTCATTAGAAAGATCGAAAAAGACCAAAAGAAAAAGAAAAATAATTGTGAAACTAGTAATAAGAGAGAATATAAGTCATCTACAGTTATGCCATATAAAGAGGGGACATCTGAAACCCTACGTTTTTTTGTGCGTTTGTGGTATAGCGGTTTGGAGGCTTGTCGACCATGCACATGGTCCGGGGTTTGATCCCCGGCCGACGCACTCTGACACCTCGCTAAGCCAGAAATAATGCTGGTAAAGAGGAAAGGTTGGGCATGAGGCTAGCAACCTCATCCTGTAAAATAAACATTGCTACAGAAACTTCAAGTGACTAGCTTGAAGCCCTATGTTCCACTGGGGAACGTGAAGGAAAAGAAAAAAACAAAATACCTTGCAATGACTGTGAGTGAGGTCAGCTACATAGGTCAAACTAGTAGGTCTGGGGTCAGATTGTCAGTACATAGCAATTTAGCTAAGGTAAGAATGGTTGACATGAAAAGATAAGTAATTTAGAAAAAGGCTCAGCAATTGCACTGCATGCATTAACAAAAAACCACACAATAGGGTGGGAGAGGGTTAAAATTCTAAAAAGTGATCTAGGTAGGTGGAGAGAGAGGCTGATTGCTGAATTCTTGTTCATCGAGTCTACACCCAACACATGCAATAGGAATGATTCATCACTCATACCCAAAATATGGAAAATACTACTACCAATCAAATCAAGTGAAAAACAATGGAACTATATAAATGAATTTAGGAAGTCGTATGATTACCTTGATATGATTATGAGCAGGGCAATAAATTGTGCTCGAAACGTGGTCATCAGTAAACATTGCTGTTTAATAATATTAGCTAATCGAAGTCTATCAATCTAGCTATTTGTTCAAATTCGGTTATTTGGAAAAGATCTCTCATGCACTTGTAGATGAGTTATGTTTATTGCTTAAAAAAAAACATTGGAACCTGGGACTCATTGGTTGAAATCTGAGTGGTTCGTTGTGTAATTTCTTTGGTGTTAAAAAATGGTAGTCGATCTCTGTGAAGCTGTGAACTTATCACAATTTTCCAGTAGTTTTCAGTTGATTTATATTCTATCAGATGATAATTTTCATTAAAATGTTTCCTGCTAACGTATTCCCATTTGACTTCAGATTTGCATATACATTATAGAAACTTAAGATCAGTTATAAGTTAGTTGTGTATATCCTATGTATGCTGAGGTTGTTTCGTGGTTATTTCTTGTGTAGATACAGGTAAAGGGAAATGCTTTTTGATTTGACACTAGTAACTGGTGTGATGCGTCTGGTCCTCTGATTGGTGTAGACTGAATTCTATCAGTCAGGTTGTAATGTGACCACCATTCTAGCTAGCTCGCCATCACGGTGCAGCGACATGAGTTCCTTCAAGATTGCAGGTACGCCTTGCTGACTGGTGAGTGCCAACTAGCACGAAACTTGGGTTATCCAAGGCTTCTTGTGGCCGATTGCCTCCAACCATCTAAAGGGGAATGCTGTTTAAATTATTCTCCTAAAATGTTCCATGTGTTACACCTGTGAAGTTATTAGGCTTCATCTTTCTAAGCGATTATTTCACAGACTGTAGGATTTTCTCAGAATATGTTTTGCCTAAATAACGAATGGTTATAACTTATTCTGTGATATAGTTTAATTCAGCTCATGTTTGATCAACTTCCCCTCGTCATTGTGTTCGGAACCCGCTGCCTCACTTAGCTTGAATAGTGTCCACTGACTGCAGGCATTAACAGTATTTATCATTGTCCCTAAAGCAGACAACCATATTAGCTATACATGTGTTTAGAGTAATATTCTAATTTTCGTACACCTTTTTGCTGTATATGGCTTTTACTGTTGTATTATTATTTATTTTCTAATTAGCCTGATAATATTAATTTGACATCAGTGAACTCAGAACAAGCTAGTGACTCCAACCTATGCTCTACACCGAACAAATCCGTTACTGTTGCTTCAGATAAAATTGCCGAGGATACTTCTACTACAGTAATGGCTCCTCCGAGTAAGTTATCTAGGAAAGAAGGCAAAGAAGGTAATGTATCTACTGCAACAACAAATACCAATATGAAGGAAAAGAATTCTGTAAAGGCTAAAAAAAAGGGGAAAATACTTCAGTGGAATGATGTTATTCTTTCACGTATTGCGGTTAGTCAGGTAATTTTCCTTTATTCCATTTTTTCTTACTTGTGTCTACCAAATTTTTTTTTGCATTTATGTTCGTTAGTTCATTGATTAATACAATAACAGGCTGTTTATTTTCCGTTTGATGTATGTATGTATACTCATGTCATCAACTGGTTGCTATATACAATCTTTACTTTTTAATTCTCAGGATTAATGGATTTACATTATAACTTCTAAAAAAAAATTAAAAACCATTGGAACAAAATTTGTCATTTGTTTTAATCAGTTTTCAGTTTTGAAATTTTCTGAATTTAGTTAGATAAGGCAATAATTATTTTGAGGCTTATGCGTCGGTGGTTCATTGGTAGAATGTTCACGTCGCACGATGCACGTCGCCCGAAGTTTGATTTCCGACTGACTCATTCCTAGACCTCACTTAGCCGACAGTAAGCCCAGTAAGGCGGGAAGGTTGAGTGTCTGTTTTCGACATAGAACTCTACACATATGTGCACCAGTTCAAGTCGCTACACTCCCTCCTTGACCACACAAACCAAGAGAAGAAAGTACAAGAAATGCATAATAGAGACAGTAAACAGGTGTTAGACAAAGGAATAATAGTAATAACGAAGAACAAAACAGTTTCATTGGAAATCATAAGTCACTAGGAGTGGATGGATCTGTGCTGGCCATTGAGAACGATAACTTTGAGCCATATCGCCAATTGTTTCCAGTCATTGGTTTTTAACGTCACGAGGACCCCAACCAGACTGGAAGTCTACACCTTCCTACGTGGCTTAGACTAACTGTTGTAGATTTCATTGACTGGTGAAGCCATGTTTTGGTTTGACCGCCGATAGCTCTTTTCCAACCTCATTGATCCTATGTCAGCTAACATTGCCCGTTGAGGAAGGCGATGGCTAGTGATGCATACGGTAACACATGTCCTAACCATCTCATCTCAGTCGATGTCACTTCACTACTTCGTCGATTGATTTCCCCTCCCTCCTTACCTAGAACTCGACCGATGCCTAACCTCAATATTGCTCACCTCATTATACCACTTCACACGGAAGATAAAACGCAGGTGCCTATGATCGAAGACAGCTAATCTTTTCATGTCTTCCACTCTCAATGGCCAGGTCTCACAGCCAGCCTTAAAGGAGGGTGGAGCGGACTGATGAGCAGTACACCCGCCCTTTGGTCGATAGCCAGCCGGATATCACGTCTACACCAGAGACGACGTAAACTGGCATATGCGAAACGAGCCTTCTGTATCCGTGCTGAGATTTCGTCGGAGATCAACCCGTTGGCGTTGGCTGATGGTACTTCCCGAATAAGTGAAGCGGTCAACGTGCTCTACCACTTAACTCCTTATTTCTAAACTAGGAGTCAGTGTAGTCCAGTCCTGTAACATCATCTTGCATGTGTGGGGCTTGCAATCCTCTACCCATGAAAAGAAATACCAGCCTTGAAGTCCCCTATGTCCCACTCAGAACGCCAAAGGAATAAAATACTTTTCTTTCTCAAACAACAATAATGAGATCAGTTTTTGTCGTTGTGACAACTGCGCTATCATACTTTCCAGGGGAAAAACCGAAACTTACCCGTCTAGTATTTACGCTTTTATTTATTTTATTACAACTAGACAGTTTAGTAATACTTCAAACTGTTTTATTGATCTGCTTTCTTTTTCTATGTTGTTTAGCCTGTGGATGATGAACGTCCGGACTACTATAACTCTGAACTTTTAAAAGATTTACAACCAGAGGATTTTGATTTCACTTTTGCTGCACGTAGTCATTTTCCCTCCAGAGGTCATCGTACTCTGTCATCAGTTTTAGGCCTAGCTTCACGAAATCACCCATCTACTCTATTGGCTCATTTTGATGCACCCCAACCTCAGTGTCAAGCTTGTGGTGTAACTGGTCATCGATGGACTCAGTGTCAAACTTCCAATGACAAATCTGTATCATTTTTAGCCTGGCGTAAACTTTCGAATAAAACTGCTTGGCCACCTAAGCCTGAACAAATAAAGGATTTAACTAGTTGTCTTGAACGTCTAGAAAAATATCATGAAGCTGAGGAAAAAATTCATGCTCGCAAAGTAATTTCCCTTTTTAGAATTTATACTGTTTTTCTTATTTACTTGTCGATATAATATCAATAGGTAATTATATTTTCCTAAATGCATATTTTGTTCTCAGCGTCGTCAATACGATACTCAGAGAAGGTGTCGTATGCTGAACGACTGTAGAAGTCATCTGAGCATTTATATATGTGTCATAATCTGTGGATTCGATTCGACGCCGACACACACACACACTCCTTAACCTCGTCTATCTAACTGTTTGTTGGTAAGTTAGAAATAAGATGGGAGGTTGGACGTGAGGCTAACACCCCCCCCACTGCGTGTAAGGTGACATCACCGCTACTAAAACTTTGTCTTCCAAAATTTCTTCTCATCATAAGAAATAGTGGGGAAGTTGTTAGCAGTCCTTCATCTATGGCAAAGATTTCATCATTAACTATTCAGACCACCACAGAGACAAATGAAATGGAAGATTTTTCGAGTCATACAATCATTCAATAATGATAATAGTAATAGTTTGTTTGAGTCACTTTTTTTCCATCCTGTCAATTCACTGAATCGAAATATTTGCTTTATCGTTTAAAGCAATAGATGCGGGGTTTGGGTCTCAGTGAGAACACTATCGTTCATTGAAGATGCAGGTACATCCAGCTAACGAGGCACATCTTAGATTCCACTGTTAGACACCATCTAACAAATAACACTTTTAACAACAGCTTTGTTTACTCTGAACAATATGTTTATATACATATGTTAGAGAATCTTAGAGATTATATTTATCTACAGTATAAAATCCTCCGTTCCCTGACTGTTTCGTCTCTGAAAAGCACATCTTGCGGTATATTTAAAACCAATTTTAAAAAATCCACTTACGTACAGATTGTTCTTCAAGGAGGTAATTGGTTGGTTCAAACAAAATTAAACTGAATGGATTTTGCGTGTTATTCTGTGTTGAAATTCGGGTTACCTAATGATTTTAGCAGGCTGACACCAAACCCTGAGTTACTGGGACTGGGAAGTCAAACGCATCAGTTGAATATTAGATGGCTTTATTTTAAATATCACACAGCGATACAGCTCATTGAGAATTCTATGTAATGCCTCTGACTTTCCTTCTTTACATGGTAGTACTACAGAGGCTTTCATTTCTATATTATTTTCGTCATTTTTATTACTAGTCCCAGTTTTCCTATGCTTTCTAGGTTTTTTCCCTCTTTTTTCATAAAGGGTGGAATTAGGGTGGTATTTAAACCAAACACCTTTCTCAGAGATAAACTTTATCGGCTTAAGGACCCGATAGTTTCAATTTTTTAAAGTCATATAAGTTACCAAATATCATGTAATGGCCGTAAGGTTAGTTCAAATAGATGAAACTAGTAGATTAGGGTCAGGTAGATTATTGGAACATAAAAATTTAGCTAGACCTAAAATTAGTTGACCCTGCTAAGTTAAATGACCTAGAAAAAAGCTCATCCATTGCATTGCACTGGATTCACTTGCATGTAATCACACACCATACGGTGCGACAGGGTGAGGGTATTAGAAAGTAATGTAGTTAGGTGGAGATAGAGAGAGTTTAATCACTGAAGCTTTGTTTGTCGATTCAACACCGCACACTTGCAATTGGAATGACTCAACACCTATGGTGGTGATATGAAAAGTGGCAACAAACAACAAAGGGAAGTAGGAGAGACAGAATAGAGAGAAAAGTATGTATAAGACAGATTGTGAAATCGTGTGACTAAATTAGTACCATTATGAGTAGCAATAATTTATGCCCGAAACCTTATCATCCACTTGTTAATACTGCATCACTGCGCGATATTTAAAATAAACTTATCTAACAATATGGATTACATTCTACCACAGTACCCGATTTTACATCAAACGCATCCGTGCTGTTTTCTCTTTCATGACGATTTGTCATGCATTCCTCAGAGAATGATCCGTAGAGTATAAAGTACTCAGGTTTTCAGGTGGTTTTTGGGTTACAGGATTTGCTTTCTTAATTAATTTCATTTTGATCCGTCAGAATGCAGTTGTCTGTTGTTAATCGATATCCACTTTATAAACCCGACTTCATAAAGAGAATTAATCATCAAAACTATGGCCTCATTTTTTTAGTATCCACTTACTTTACTATTTCTTTAAAATTTTGATCTCATAATTGGTAATGGTTTTAAGAAATAGATCAAATGCTTGTAATTCAGTAGTCTTTCTGTGTGAATTGTCTCACTGTGAATCATTTTTGTCTCTCAGGTATTTGTTCAAAAAATTCAACAAGCCTTTGCTATTCGCTTTCCTTCTGTACAACTTGAATTATTTGGTTCTTGTGCGAATGGATTCGATCTACAATCAAGTGATTTAGACGTTTGTGTATTCTTTCCGACTAAATCACCTGAATGGTTAGCTATGCAAAATGAAGAGACTACTGTTGAGGTATGCTTAAGCAAACTATTTAAACTAGTCGTGTTATTACTATTATTATTTGTTTAAATTAATACTTGTATTTCCCGTTGATTGATTTAATTATACTGAAATATTCCCTCTCTATTGACATGTTGACTTTAAACAAAGAATAACTAACACCCGTTGCACAAGAGGTGGCTCTCGTTAGCCCAGTGGCCTAGTAGATGACTCTCCGGCGTTTGAAACAATATGTGTTGGGTTCAAGTCTCTTCGAGAACACGATCACTCACTAGGGATTGCAGTTATGTCCATCTGTGCATCTCGCATCCTACTAATAGCCACAATAATTTAAAAGAAAGGACATTCGACGAAGATTTACTCCTTTCAGCTTGTGCCCGGCTCACCACCTCTCACCAGAACACCAGGTAACTTTATCATGTAGTCAGTCACCGGCAAGCACCAGGTTAATTTCCAAGAGAGCCGATGATAAAAGCTGGTGGTCGTGTTAAAATCATGAAATGGTCGAAGTTGGAATCCATAGGATAGTAAATTGGGTCTCAGTAACTGAATGGTCTACAGACATGCCTTGTAACCAAAAGTTTCTCACATTGAACCCCAGTGGGTGCTTACTGTCGAAGAGACAAGTGATTATTATTACCATTATTATTGTTAGAGCATTTTAAACATAAATTTTATGAATACAATACAGAATCCTCACCATCTATTAGGACATGTGTTACGCATGTCTAACCATCGTCTTCCTCGACGGGAAATGTTAGCTGACATAGGTTGGGGAAAAGCTAGTGGTGGTCAAACCATAATATCGCTTCATCAATCAATCAAATCCACAACATTTAGTTTAAGCCACGTAGGGAGGTGCAGACTGTCTATCTGGTTGGGGTCCTCTGGATGGTAAGAACCAATGACTGGAAATAATTGGTGATATGGCTCAAAGTCATTGTCAATGGCGCAGATACATTTACTCTTTGTTTATTATAATATCCTATAGAAATCGACTGTTCTTCTATATTACTATTCTTTCTGCCTCACACTTTTGTTTATTATCTCTGTTGATGAATCTCTCTTTACTCTCTTATCTTGCTTTGTGTGGTAGAAAAAGGTTTTTGGCAAGTTGGACTAGTGCACATCTGTGCAAAGTCCTACGTTGAAACCAGTCAGCCAGATTGAGAAACAGACAGATACAAAAGAATGACTGAGAAAAGCTCAATGAAAAATGGCATTATGACTAGAAATTACCGCTAGTATTATATAATTATTTTATTTGACCAATAAAAATCTTTGTTCTGACTTGCTAGCACACACCAGTGATGGGACCCTGAATGTCTACATAAAGGTCAAACGTCTGTTTCACAGGTTAAGTAGGAAAAAACTGACTTGTAACATTTCTCCTCCCTATCTAACAGTCATGTTCACATTGAACGCAAGGATTATTTGCCGGAATTTAAGTGCTGTATCAGAGTGAGGACGAAAGTAACCACAAGGTGTTTTCGAGCATAGGATAGTAAACAGCACGACAGATATTCCAACCATCTAAAAACAATCAATGTAACACCATCAAAACAGTTAAAAATAACATTTGATATCATAACAGTATTCCTTTAAACACGTTATACAAATTCGCATAAAACTAACCGTTGAGATAGTTGAAATTGTAATCGATCACGTATACTCTGTCATATCAAAAAGGCAGAAACGGAAGAGGTAAATTTGTTATGAATATCACTTGTATAACTCATCTGTTATACTGCAGTCGTTTACTCCTCATCTTTACCCCATTACCATCTTTAATTCTTTTCACTTGAATTTACCTGAATATATATATATATATTGATAAAAATCTATAGAACATAGTGCACTTGTCTGCAGACTATTGATTACAGAACCATATCAGATTGTACTTTAATAAACGTAGGTTCATGCTGGTTTTTTCAAGCATATCTCTATTGTACGTTTATTCTAATTATATATGTGAATCACGGAATATACACATTGGGTCATAGGAGTTATTAAGAAGACGGTTGCAGTGAAGAAAATTTTCTTTTCAACGAAGTCATCATCTAGGCTGTACATTCGTGTATTTATATCAAATGGATGGGAAAGTTCCATAATAATTTCCGGTTAAGAGTCAAATTAATAAAAATTACAATTAGGAATAAGAATGCCATAATAAACATGGGGATGGATAAAACAGACAAAGTAGCATCATAATAACTAAGAAGATTGACAATGTGCAATTAGGGGTTAGAAATGTAGAAATAACAAAATAGGCAGGATGTTTGGATAAAAAACTAATGTGATGAATAATTGTTTATGCAATCAGGGATTAAATATGTAGAAATAGTAAAATGACAAAATAAACACGAAGTTCGGGTATGAAAATATGGTAGTGTAAACAGGGATTAGGGAAAACTTCAAATAACAAGAATAAACAGGGACTTTAAGTAAGAAAGGCGATGGGATGGTCATTACTAAAAAATTACCTGTTTATGATGGCCATGGCAGGGACAGAGGTTGCACGTATTTCTGTTGGATACAAAACGTGGGTTTGAGCTTTTGTATAGCTAGCGCCTCGGCTATGCCCAGATGTCTTGATTTCACTCCCTTTTGATAGGTTTGGTTTAATCTTGTATATTACTTCAAAGGATTTTTCGGAAGGCGCTGAATGTCCTGAATTGACCAGATGTTCTGTCACTGAACTGTATACACGCTTTTGGTCTCCTTTTACTAACCAGACTGGATAGTGTTCACGAGCGCGTTTTTCAAATCGGCGCATGGTACGGCCAACGTACTCAGCTCCACAAGAGCAAGTAGACTGTGAATCACCCTGGTTATAAAATTTCTGTACATTCCTTCATTATGACATTATGTTATTATTATTTTTTATCGTTGTTATTTCCTTTCTAGATGATTAAGAAATTTAGAAATCAATTATTTCGGTGCTCAAATCGACTACAACTCGTTCAAGTTCAACCGGTACTAAAAGCTCGTGTTCCAATATTGAAAGTTTCCTTTAGAAATTCATTTGAAGTGGACATAAGCTTTTCTAATTACCTCGTAAGTTATATAAAATTTTTGAACAATAGAGATAGGGAGAGAGATAAAAATTACTCTTTCAGTGATGTAGATTTGATATTGTAATCTATTTTTGCACTCTCAAATGGTGTCTAATTAGCTCGTTTTCAAAGTTAGTACGATTATTCTCTTATTATATGTCTGATTTCCCACAAACTGGAAGATGTGCAAGTGAAAAGCAACAAGTCTGCAGAAGAAGCATCAACGATAGAACTTCAAGTGAACAAAGAGAAGACAGAGGTGATGCAGATTCCTGGCCAATAGTAACAGAAACGACAATCAACATGAATGGGAGAAATCTGAAAGAAACAACCTCCTTTACCACCTACCTTAGGAAGCATTGTCGTTTCAACTACAGGCAGGCGGAACTGATGAGGAAATTAAGTGGGATCTGGAAAGCAAGGCAAACTATCATTGCTTTCCTGTCTGTGTGCAGATCAACAGCACTCAACATGAAAAAAAAGATCCGGATTTTCAGCTCCGATGTGAATTCAGTGTTACTATACGGATCAGAGACTTGGCGCGTCACCAAGGGCACTTCGAACAAACTACTGACAGCTGTCTTCGCTCAATACCTTTGGTTAGATGGCCTGCCAGAAAAGATCAGCAACAGAGAGGGATCTCTGGGAGCGAACCAACCCAGCAGGAACCGACTGTGCAACAAATCTTCAGGAAGAAGTGGAAGTGGATTGGCCATACTCTGAGAAAACAAAACATCAAGTGACATCACACGACAGGCTCTCTCTCGACTGGAACCCGAAAGGGAAGCGGCGAGTTGGTCTTCCAAGAGTGACATGGAGAGGTCATGAGAGGGAAGGAGATGAAAGCATGTGAGCAGACGTGTAGCCAAGTGAAAACGTTGGCGAAGGAACCGAACACATTGGAGACGTGCGGTTGAGGCCTTATGTTCCTCTAGGAACTAAAGGAGACAGTAATATAATTATTATTAATCAAAATATATGATGATGTTAGCGTTGAATCGTCGTTTATTCTCAGTCATTCAAGTGCGTATTTTATATTTCTCTGCATAAAAGAAGTGACTCCATCTTTTCCTCACAATTTGGCATGTCTCTGTGTGTGATATGTTATGTCTTCGTGTTCTTAGATATAATATTAGTGATATTAGAAAACAGACAAAGATTGATCAGATACCAATATCATTTCAGTCTTTAAAGTCTATAAACTATTTTTTTCACATGAGATTTTTGTAATAAAGCTGTCAATCTGTTTCCATGAGGTCGAAATACCTTGGGCTATTGTAAATAAACAATAATTGCCCATTACTCGATAAGTTTTGCACTTTGCTGTATCTTATGAAATTTTACAGTTGGCATTAATTTTTTTTTACTTGTTATTTTACAGTATATGTGCATATACGAGGTGTGGTATTTATTTTGTATTACCACGCTGTTTGTCTGTCAGGTGTAAGCGTTCACTTCGGTGTTTGTCTTCACATTTGCAACTATTGATAGAATTACTTTTATTGCTGGCATAAGAATGTATCATTCTTGTATAACCATTTTAGTGGAATATTTATTTGATGTAAATACCGTTAGGTTATCGAGTAAAATTTGTATGATGTCATTACTTCCCTTGGTTCGAATGGAACACAGGGCTTCAACAACACATCCGCATTTTGTCCTGTTCTCTACAGACCTCTTTGGCTTGTTCCATGATTTTCCATAGGCTCACATCTCATACTATCTCCTCCATATCACCCTTGGACATACACCCAATAGGCCGTTTCCCATTCAGATTCAACTACCAGGGCTGGCTTGATGTGCGACATCATACAACGGTCTACTCAGCCTATGTCTGACCCATCTCAGTTTTCTTCGACGCATTTATTATGCAATAGGTTCTTGGTTGGTTTGTTCCGAAAGTTTCTTGTCTCCTACCCCCTCTTTAACTGGCCATGTGATCTTCAATATGCAGTCATCGTACTGATAAAAGCTTGCAGATGGCTGTTGGAATATCTTTTGATCCATATCGAAGGAATGACTTAACAGTGGTGTTGAAAATCTGAATTGTATTCTTTATGTTGCGGAGCGCAGACGACTTCTAAACTGACTTCATAGGGTGGAAGTGTACCTTGCTCTTCTGATTTCGATTCGAACATCCTCCCCCGTGCTGCTGTCGTTTGTAGTTGAAGCGTTGCTGTCTAGATAAGTGAAAGAATTGATCTCAATCAAATCTCTCCCGTTGATAGTAATTTGTGCTTATTACTGTTGGTTTGGCAATTTTCGTCACCTCTGTCTTCTTTATGTTCAAGTATAATTAATTGTTGTTCATTTATTTTTAATTATTTTCTTCTTCGTATATTAGGCGCTTTCAAATACACGAATGTTGGCCTTTTACTGTGAACTTCAACCGAAACTTCGTATCTTGGGGATTGCTTTGAAAACTGTCACCAAAGTAAGTCTCACTCTTGTTTTTAACTTTTGTCTCAACTTCTGTCTGTTTCATAGTTGTCTTTTTTTATTTTCCCAGTCATCAGACTATGTATAATTTGAGTTGTATTGACCGACTGAACAGTTTTCATTCCCTTACTTTCCTAGTAGAACATTGGGTTTCAGGCATTGAATTGTCAGTAGCTGAGGTATTTTACTGGACGGAGTTGTCGGCCTCATGCTCAACGTTCCTTGCTTCTCAGGCCTACTGTTTGTCGGGAATCGAACCCGGGGCTATGCGGCTGGTTTACGAGCATTCTGCCACTGAACCACTGATGCATAAATAATGACCATCATTTCTTATAATATTTGGGCAGACTGATTTGGTTTTTTTTTGTGGACAATAAAGAATATCCACTTAATCAATAGGCCTTGGAGTTACACTTTCAGACACACTTTGTTTTAAGATTCTACTTCTCAAAAGAAGACATGAGGCAATGAATTTATGTATCCATTGATTTGACACTAGTAACTAGTGTGATGTGTCTAGTCCTCTCTTTGGTGCAGACTGAATTCTATCAGTCAGGTTGTAATGTGGTCACCATTCCAGGTAACTCGCCATCACGGTGGGTGACGCGGGTTCGAATCCCAAGGTTTCAGATACGCCTTGCTGACTGGTGAGTGCCAACTAGCACGAAACCTAGGTCCAAGACTTCCTGCTGATTGCCTCCAACCATCTAATATCATCAGATATGTATCTATTTCTATGTAATTGCCTTATAGTCGAACTTTTTAGCGTTTCTGATTATTGTTCATGAACAATTTGCTTAGTGAAGTGCTGTAGCATATTATTATATTATTATTGCTCCCTTGGGTTCCTAGGGGAACATAGGGCTTCACTGCACGTCTCCATTTGCTTCTGTCTTCTGCTCTACTTTTCACCTGCATCCATGTTAGTCCATACTGTTTCAACTCCTCTTCACACGATCTCCTCCATGTCACCCTTACACGTCCCACACGCATAGCTTTAATGTAAATAACTTTTTCTATTGATCAAGAGCTGTAAGCTTGCTTCTCCCACTTTTGTTTGTTATATGCTCTTGAATTACAGATGCATAATATTCGTGAACACATAATGGAATACTTCTACTTCGTATTCCACACCCACACTAGAATGTCTTGTGACTTGAAATAACACAATTTAGAGTACTATTAATAATCGACAACCCTAGAATCTGTGTATCAAAGAATACATATCAAAGTCTACTTGTTGACTTAGATCAGATGTTCTTTAATTGTATTTAGTGTACACTTATTTTGAAACTCTTCATATCAGAAGAGATTTTATTAATCCTTTTGTTCAATATTAGTTTCATCGTATGAAATTATAGCTAGAAATCTACCAACTGTTTTGCATAACGTTTTTAATTCAAAACTTAAGTATAACATCTATATGCCTATTTCTTTACTTATATGAAAACTGTGAGATGAAGTTAAGTAGTAGTACAAAACCTACAACAATTTCTCATTTAGTCAATTAAACATGTTGAATCAAATGATTCGGTTTACAATAACTTGTAGCGGAATTCAGGATGCTGTCTTCTTCTTTGGGACTCATCATCCGGATGTAACTGCATTCCGGAGAGCTCCGAATTCAATGAGGAGCGAAAGCTGCACAAGAGGAAACTTACGAAAAGTCTCCGCAAGGACCGTGAACAGTGGTGGCTGGCCACAAGAGCCAAAGAGATGGAGAAAGCTTCGAGGATAGGCAACACCAGGACACTATTTACACTCATCAGGGAAACGGGTGGGAGAAGACAAATCATCAGTGAGACAATCTCGGAAAAAAATGGCACTATAATTAGCTCCCTGGTTAGACGACTGGATCGCTGGAAAGAGCATTATGAGGAGCAGTTTAATTGGCCCACAGCCACGCTCAACCTTCCGAGCATCCAACACCTCCCTGAATGGGATATAGACACAGGTCCTCCATCCCTAACTGAGGTTACTAAAGCTGTCACCAATCTGAAACTAGGCAAAGCAGCGGGACCTGATGGAATGACTCCAGAGGTATTTAAGTACGGTGGAGACAGCTTACTGTCCGGATTAACTGAGGTACTAGGCAGCGTCTGGGAATCAGAAGAAGTCCCATCGGGTTGGTGTAAGTCACTGATTATCCCCATATACAAGAAGGGAGACAAGTCTTCGTGTGATAATCACAGAGGGATTAGCTTGACTAATATAGTATCTAAAGTCTTAGGCTCAATAATCATGCGTAGACTGAGTGGTGCTCGGGAAGCACAAACACGAGAGAGCCAGGCAGGCTTTAGACCAGGAAGAGGGTGTATTGATCATATCTTCACCCTCCGACAGATTCTAGAACATAGGCATTCCTACCGGCGTCCAACAGTCATTATATTTCTTGACCTAAAGGCAGCATTCGACTCTGTCGATCGAGAAGTTCTCTGGAGATGCTTGGCTGTAAAGGGAATTCCAAGAAAATATATTGCACTGATTAAGGCACTCTACTCGTACTCATACAGCCAGATGAGGGCTTACGGCGAGCTGTCATCTGAACTGATGACGACTAGTGGTGTCCGTCAAGGATGCCCATTATCCCCATTTCTATTCAACTTCATCATAGATGTGTTAATGGACTTAACCCTAGGTGACTTCAGCGACTCAGGGATTGACTTGCTACCGGGGAATAATCTTGTTGACTTGGAATATGCAGACGATATAGTCCTTCTAGGCGAAGACGCTGACGAAATGCAGAGTCTTCTAAACACCTTGAGCCGCAATCTACGAATGTTTGGCATGCGATTCGCTCCCGCCAAATGCAAGATGATGTTACAGGACTGGACTACATCGACGCCTAGTTTAAAAATAGGAAGTGAAGTGGTAGAGCACGTTGACCGCTTCACTTATTTGGGAAGTACCATCAGCCAACGCCAACGGGTTGATCTCCGACGAAATCTCAGCACGGATACAGGGGGCTCGTTTCGCATATGCCAGTTTACGCCGTCTCTGGTGTAGACGTGATATCCGGCTGGCTATCGACCAAAGGGCGGGTGTACTGCTCATCAGTCCGCTCCGTCCTCCTTTATGGCCAGCTGTGAGACCTGGCCACTGAGAGTGGAAGACATGAAAAGATTAGCTGTCTTCGATCATAGGCACCTGCGTTTTATCTTCCGTGTGAAGTGGTATAATGAGGTGAGCAATATTGAGGTTAGGCATCGGTCGAGTTCTAGGTAAGGAGGGAGGGGAAATCAATCAACGAATTTGTGAAGTGACATCGACTGAGATGAGATGGTTAGGACATGTGTTACGTATACCTAGTCATCGCCTGCCTCGACAATGGGAAATGTTAGCTGACATAGGATCAGGCTGGAAAACAGCTATCGGCGGTCAAGGCGAGATATGGCAACAGTCAATGAAATCCACAACAGTTGGTCTAAGCCACGTAGGATAGTGTAGACTTCCAGGCTGGTGACATGGCTCAAAATCGTGCTCAGTGGCGCAGATGCATCCACTCCTTGTGACTTATGATTTCCAGTGAAACTATGTTGTTGGTTATTAGTATTCCTTTGTTTCACACTTCTGTTTACTGTCTCTATTATGCATTTCTTCTACTTTCTTCTGTTGCTTTATGTGCCACATTGGGGGGGGGGGTGGCAACTTGAACTGGTGCATATCGGTGCAAAGTTGTATGTCAAAAACAGACAGACAGACAGCATTCCCAGTGGGTGATGGTGTTCTCACGGAGACACTTGAATCCCACACCCATCGTTTGAAATTCCAAAGCAGTTGCCTACTGGGTCACGAAAGCCACCTCCTGCGCAATAGATATCAGTTATTACTTTGCGTTAATCCTGAGATGTCGTTGGAGCGTTCGTACTAGAAGCCGACATAGTAACATAGTCTGAGCATCGCTGTTTAACATAGCGAATCAACGGGATATACAAATTCATCTAATAATTTCTTAGATGTTCAGTTTTTTTGAGTTCTTACGATAAGATATACTAGACTCAGTATAATTCTCCCATTCAACCTTCTCTTCGCATATTACATAGTTTCATTACACTTTTCAAATGATTTATTTTCTTGTACAGATAACAAAAATTGGGAAGGCAGCAGCTGGTGGAATTTCTTCATATGCATGTATTATCATGATTATTCATTACTTACAACAAATTGGCCAATTGCCTGTTTTACAAGAAGTAAGTTCTTACTTTGTCATGTATGTATATATGCTTTTGTTTAGGCATTGTCTAATCACTACTCTACAATATTCAAAAACTGTACTAGTGTTTATCTAACTTAACGAATTGAGTTTTCAACCAATATCATTTATGTGTTTTATGTTGTGTTTTGCCGTGTTATACAGCTTTATGAAGGACAATCGAAACCTGTTACTCTTGTCAATGGTTGGGATGTTTGGTACCAGAATGATTTATCAGTTATTGTAAGTTTGTTTATCTGTGTTGTTTTGAAAGATGATGTTGAACACTAGTAAACAGTTATTATTATTCAATCCAACGATTACTTGTGTATCAGATTACTATCAAGACTTGATTTGCTTAGAGTAGGGTGATTATTAAAACCAGTTGGCTGTATGGAAAGTTTGTTGACTGGAGTGATTTAATTGTAAGGCATTCATTGAATAGATTATAACAACTTAACTTATGCATAAAGAGAGGGTAACACAAGTGAAGTGTGGTACCAGCTATAAACTGTAAGCTAGTGTCTTCAGTTGAAGAGATTCATCAACAAACTTCGTTACAGACTCCTGTTAGCTTTGGAAAGCACAAATATAGCAAAAACCTTAAATTAACTGTTTATCTCAAGATGTATATATGCGAGTTATTGCTGATAACTCCGTAATCGATTTCGTAATCTGTGGATTAACTCACCACAAATTCCTTTAGAAACGGAAATTATTATGATCACAATTTGTGATCTGCCTGGTACGATAGACGGTGATCAAGAAATCAAAGATAAATGAATCAAATCATTTATGATATCAAGCAACATCAAGGTACACAATGTGATCGGAATAATTTTCATTGTCAAGAGAAACTGGTGAGATTTGACCTCGAGCTGTGTAAATTGCAAATCACGAATTGGATTTTCAATGTACTACTAGTTAACCCAAGTAGCTGGTTAGAATTCCGCACTTTGAGCGGAGTCAAATGGAACACACCATTGATGACTTTGATGCCAAAAGAGCGAAACTATCGTCCATTTTTCGGCTCTCTCCGATCTTTCCGACAAACACTATTGGTTGGTGTAGGTGGGTGGGTTACGGTTGTAGTCAACTACTCATCATTATATCAGTAGTATATTACGTGGTGCGTTTAAACTCTGTAATCAGCAGTTATCTGTTTCTCTGGGTACATAAAACTTAGCAGATCAGCTTTTCCAGGGAAGTAACTGTCAGATTGAAATGTATGCCTACTATTGTCGTTTATCTTTCATAGGGAATGATGTACTCGACGTAATTCTTGCTTTTCTTATCGTTGACAGCTGCATAATATTATCATTGAACTATTTTCAAATTTATTTCAATCAATACTATTGTCGTGTTACAGTATGCTGATGAATAATATAATAATAATATTTCTGAATTGATACATCGTATATACCATGAAGGTTGTCAGTTGTTGATACACGTATGTATATTCATCAACACATGTGTGTAACAGGCATATTTTCAACTATTCAGTAGTACAATGTGTTAAGGCTTCTTTTTTCAATTATAATTTTTATTGTTCATAATTAATTAATTTAATAACAACAAATAAATAAATTACTTTCGGATGATCATTCTTTCTTTCTTTTTATTTTCTTTCATACTTTAGAATCGTTTATGGAAGCCAACTAATCCAGATCAACCAGTTGGTGAATTGTGGTTAGGATTTCTGCGTTATTATCTTTTTGAATTTGATCATGATGCATATGTTGTAACAATTAGGCAAAAGAAATTGCTGATACGCTTTGTAAAGATGTGGAAATCTTTATTCGCTATTGAAGGTAATAAAAATATCATTAAACTTTTTTTTTAACATATTATTCAATATATTTTTTTCATATTCTAAAATCTATGCCAGTAATCATGATTAAGCCAAATATTTTAATAAAGCAAGAACAACAGTAGTCTGTGCAAAATAAGATGGTAGCATCATTGTTCATCTCATTGACTTCTCATCAGCTGCTCACAACCTAAAGGAGTTATTATTAAGTTCATGTACAGAAACAATCAGTAAGTTGAGTATCAATATACTGAGTTCAACTCAACTCGTTGGAACAACAGCTAAATAAAGCTACACTGTGTAATAGGGTAGAGAGGTTGAGGCCAAAAAACTACATAATCAAATGAAAGAGCGAATAAAGACATCCAGTTATCAGGGCATGGAAAGACTGATAACTGCCTCTTTCTGAACCCGTAAATTGGCTTTCAGGTGTTTGATGGAGATTGCTTCGGTAAACTTGAGGAGAATTGAGCTATTTTGTCTATTGATATTGCTCATGAGGTGGGCATCTGAAAATCGCTTAAAATTATCAATTATTATGAGAAAGAAGCAGTTATCAGTCTTTTTTAGCTGTGGTAACTGGGCGTCTTTATTCTCTCCTTTATTTGATTGCGTAATCTTTGGCTTTAACCCCTTATCTTCAATACATAACTCCTTTACCATTGTATGCATACACTGACTTTTTGTTTAAACTGTCTGTCAGCTGACATCATGTGAAAATTGTTTCTATCCATAAATTTAATAGTTTTTTTTAGGATGTAAGTAGCTGGTGAGAAGCTCAACGAAAGAGATGATGGTACAGTTTTATTCTGCACAAACCACTGTTGTTCTTGCTTTATTCTAATTCATAAAGGTGAATAAATTTATAATTGATTACTACCTTTCTAAAAAATACATTTTGAACAGAGATAGATGAACTTATGCACTTTCAATGGAACAGATTTATGTTAATACATTTTACAATATTGTAAAGTGTTGGTATGCATGGATTCAATCGGTTTCAATTCTCGTTATGAACTGTCTTCAGTTAGTGAATCATTGAAAACCAGGGAGTACTGGACAGATGTTCCTTTCTAGTTTTGGATTCTTCAGCAGAATGTACCCATGACCACCGCTTTCGGTCAAATACAGGACCTTCAGATCATAAGGTGAACACGTTGATCATTCAATGATTGAAACGGAATCCAGTTGATCATGTGTGTAACTGAACTACGTATTAGTTTCTGAGATCATATCTTTTATAAATGTATTCGCTTTACATGTGTAAAAAAAGTGACGTAATTATTAAGAGGCATGTTTAGTACTCATCATCAATTATTATGCCGTAACTATTTATAAGGTGATTTTCTGTAAGACATACTGGATATGAATTTCATTAATCAGTCAGTTACAGTTGTTATACTTATCATTATATTTGTTGTTACTATTTATTCCCTTGGGTTCTCGAGTACAGCATAGCGCTTCCTCAAGTCATCTATATTTCACCCTCTTCAGCTCTTTAGCACTACTATCGCGCATAAGCTTTCATTTACTTCTCACACTATTTCCTCTATGTCGTCGTCAGACCCACATCTATTCGAGTTCCACTCAAAGGCCTGGTTGGCGTGTGATGTCATTCAACAATCTAATCACCATATGTTCAATCTATCTCTATTCCCTTCTCCATATATTTTTGGAGGTGGCTTCTTGGTTGGTCCGTTCCTAGACTTCTTTGTTGTTTATCCTTTCTGACTGACCATCTACTCTTCAGTATCGAGTGTAGGCAGTTGTCGGTGAAAGTCTGCAACAGGTTGTTGAAATGTTATTCATGACGCTTGTGCCAAATCTCTGAACCACATTAGAAGCGGTGACTTGACATTCGTTTTGGAAATCCGGATATTGTTCTTTATGCCGAATGCAGTAGGATTTCTAAACTGTTTCCAAAGTAACGATGATGTCTGTCTTGCCTTTTAATCCTGACGTCGAAATCCTCATTTGTGCCATCTGTAGTGTTAGATTTTACTCCTGTCATATTTCTTGTTTGTTAAAATCATTTTTTAAATTTTAGTCTGTCAAAAATCTCTTGTTTTTGTAGTAGCTAGAGTCTAGTCGAGGTAAACTTTCGCGAAGTTAATATCATTGGGCTTCTTTTTTGTTATTCACTATGAGTCTGTTGTATTCTGCCTACACTTTTGGGGATATATTATAGATAGTTTCATTGTCTGTGATAATACTCTAAGCATCTATCTTAATTGTTTTCAGATCCTTTCAATCTGAACCATAACCTTACATCCGGTTTGAGTCATTCAAGTAAGTTTTATCAATTGTTTTTCTTTGTCTGCCTTCCTGGAGATTTATCATATATAAATTTGTCATCCCTGTCCATGACTATTATTTACGTATCTAAAGTATGCATAGTATCATACCTTATTTCAAATGTATAGCATTAAATGGGGTGTAAAAAGTCTTCACACATGATTAACATATTCGAAGTCTCTGGGCTTCAGTCAGATCAGCATGGAGAACCATTCACCATATATGTTAAGCATTCTGATTCTTATAATATCTACCCATCTGTTTTCGACATAGAGCTTTGCAACGATGTGAGGCAGTTCAAGTCGCCACACTCCCTCCATGTAGCACACAAACCAAGGGAAGAAAGTAGAAGAAATGCAAAATAGAAACAGTAGACAGGGATATGAGACAAAAGGAGTAATAATATCGAAAAACAATACAGTTCCATTGGAAATTATAAGTCACAGGGAGTGGATGCATCTGCGCCAGCCATTGAGAGCCGTATCACCGATTGTCTCCAGCCATTGGTTTTACTGTCTCGAGAACCCCAACCAGATAGCAGTCTAAACCTCCCTACGTGAATAGCTGGCTTAAACTAACTGTTGTGGATTTCATTGACTGTTGCCATATCTCGCCTTGACCGCCGATAGCTGTTTTCCAGCCTGATCCTATGTCAGCTAACATTTCCCATTGTCGAGGCAGGCGATGACTAGGCATACGTAACACATGTCCTAACCATCTCATCTCAGTCGATGTCACTTCACAAATTCGTTGATTGATTTCCCCTCCCTCCTTACCTAGAACTCGACCGATGCCTAACCTCAATATTCCTCACCTCATTATACCACTTCACACGGAAGATAAAACGCAGGTGCCTATGATCGAAGACAGCTAATCTTTTCATGTCTTCCACTCTCAGTGGCCAGGTCTCACAGCTGGCCATAAAGGAGGACGGAGCGGACTGATGAGCAGTACACCCGCCCTTTGGTCGATAGCCAGCCGGATATCACGTCTACACCAGAGACGGCGTAAACTGGCATATGCGAAACGAGCCCCCTGTATCCGTGCTGAGATTTCGTCGGAGATCAACCCGTTGGCGTTGGCTGATGGTACTTCCCGAATAAGTGAAGCGGTCAACGTGCTCTACCACTTAACTCCCTATTTCTAAACTAGGAGTCAGTGTAGTCCAGTCCTGTAACATCATCTTGCATTTGGCGGGAGCGAATCGCATGCCAAACATTCGTAGATTGCAGCTCAAGATAATATCTACCTACGTCTTTGTCAGACAATATTAAGGAGAGGAAATGGCTTCAGTTAAACCATTCCATGTGTAGTCATCATGTGTATGTTGTGTATGGGGGGATCACACTAGTGTTGTAAACATATATTAGGCGGCTGGAGGTAATCGTCAGGAAGCCTTGGACCTAGGTTTCGTGCTGGTTGGCACTCGTCAGCAGGCGCATATGCAACCGTGATGGCGAGTCACCTGGAATGGTAGACACATTGGAAACCTGCCTGATAGTATTTAGTCTACACCAAACAAAGGACTAGACACATTACACTAGTTACTAACATGTGTCCAATCAAAGTGTAAGCTTAAAAGTTTTTGTTTGCACAGTGAGGAAAATACCACATCTTTGACTATAACTAGTCTACATGTCTCGCTTATCTGGATGATAATCACAAGTTACGTAAAACGGTACGATACTAGTCAAGTTAAACCTCCAGTATCGGGATGATAATGATTCTCATATTACTTATTTTCATTCCTTTGCGTTTCTCCTAGTGGAACATAAAGTTTCAGGAGCGGTGATGATGGTTCTACAAGGTGCGGTTTTGGGTCATCACTCCCTCCCTCGTTTCTGACCTTTCTGCTAGTTAGTGAACAATGCAAAGTTTAGGAATGAGTGGGTCGGTAATTTAAACTGGAACTCACGCGCAGATGGTGGACATTTTCCCATATCGTATGATACTTTTAACATTGTATAACGGAGTGACTGTTGTTTCTTTGTTTTTCCCCATTTCTATAGTGCTTCTTTATCTGCTTAATGTGTTTCACACCGTTCTCGTTCATCATACAACCTTTTTACGAAAACAAATGTCTATGGGAGAATGGTGCTAGTGAGTCTTGTTTTATGTCAGGTTAAACGTTATTGCGAATTGTGATATTACATTTAAATGTCTTGAAAGTTCTTTAAATTGTTGAATTAGTTGTGATTTGAAGTATTATCATTCCTATCCAGCTGCTACTACTCTATTCGGAAATACTTTAATTTACTAGCAGGATGGTTTTTATGTTTGACTTTATCCCCCCTTTTATGTTTATTTTTGTGGAATATTTTCTTAAATACTACAATCATTTTACAGTCAAAAGTCATCATTGTTATTCTGAAATGAGTGTGGAAGTCTGCTTCACACACACACCATAAGGAACAAGATCCGGATTTCCAAAACGAATGTCAAGTCAGTGCTTCTATGTGGTTCCCAGATTTGGCACAAGTGTGATGAAATAACATTTCAACAACCTGTTGGAGACTTACATCGATACCTGCCTTCGTTCAATACTCTAGACCAGATGGTAGGTCAGAGAGGATAAGCAACAAGGAAGTCAAGGAACGAATCAGCTGAGAAGTCATCACTCAACAAATATGGAGCTGGGCTGGACATACGCTGAGGAGACGAGTGGGTGGCATCACGCGCTGGGCAGTTCATAAAGTGGAACTCTAATGGATGTGGTTTTGAGGACGACATGGACGAGTGGTGTGAGGAGGAAATGAAAGTTTATGCGCGATAGTGGTGCTATCTAAGGAGGGTTGCAGAGAAAAGAGTGAAGTGGGGATGCCTTAAGGGAACCCTATGCTGTAGTCGGAACCCAAGGCAATAATGATGACAATAAATAATTATATAATATATTGATGTAGTTGTCAGGTTCAAGCATACTTTGATGTGAGTGTAGACATACGATAATAGACACAACAGTGTTAATGCCGTTGAAGATGGACTAAGTGTTAGACTTTTGACCAATAGGTCTTGGATTGGAATCTTACTCACCAGCCTGGGAAATTGCCCCTGACACATCAAATTATGGCACATATCCGGATAACTCAGTTATAACACTAGATGTATTGAAGTTAGTCTCTGACTTCTGCACTGGGTATGATGGATTCGAATCTCAGAAGAAACATGAATTGCTTCGAACTTGCAGATACTCCGTGCTAACGAGTACCAACAATTTATTTTGATTACAGCTTGATTCCACACCGTATTTTTGGTACAAGTATGGAATTTTCAGCACGGATATCGGTAGCCCAAATTCTGCAGGTGTGAGTCGGCAGGAGATCGAACCTCGGACCATGTGCATGGTCGGCGAGAGTCCTAACCACTGTGCCACCGACGCACAAGCACGAAACATAGGTCCAAGACTTCCTGTTGACTACTTCCAACCACCTAATAACAATAATTCACATTGTACCATAATGGCGAACCAACTAGCATAGTGACCATATTGCAAACTTAACCTAGAGAATTCAGCCTGTCCCGAAAAAAGGACTAGATGCTTGAAACTGGTTAACTACCTAGAAGTAAATCTCAAATAATGATTACGCAATATGCAATAGACGTTAGTCGGGTAGAATGAAACTCTGGTGCAATATGTTGAATATAACTATCGAAGGAAAAATATTCAATTTCGCTCTATGGTGCGTTGTCTCGTTTGAGAGAAATAAAAATTTTCTACTGTTTCTGCGAAGATAAAATTTCTTGAGAATACCTTGTATTTGTTATTAAAATGTTCGCCTTTTAAAAAAATGTGTATATAAGAAAAATTCAAGTATTTTGGTAGAGTAAAATATATACTATTACTTATTATTGTACTATTATTGACTTGATCTTGCTCTTGATAGGGGTAAATAGTTAGTGCTTAGGTAGTAATATAGTGTGTCATTTCCTTGTTATTATTATTATCCTTGAAAGGTGAATAGTTCATGTATGCTCACTAAAAAATTATAATTGTCTATTGAAAATAAAATCAAAACTTTTTAAAAACATTCGCCTGTAATGTTAACAAAACAAAATCAAAACGGTTTTATCGGTTTGTCATCATCTGTGTACAATGGTGACATGATGTCAGCTAACGATGAGAGACTTACAAATCAATAGACAGTTCTCCAAGAATACACTTATATAACTTACATACACAGGGTCCGAGTTCAAACAAGACGAAACCAAAACGCCTAAAAACGTCAATCGTTTGACTTTAATCTGTGTAAGTGTAGTTTCTATCCAGAACCTATCCTGCAGCCAGTTTGGTTCCCGTATGTTGAACAATATGCTTTTTAATGCAATTAAAAATCAACAGATACCCTTCTTATGTCAGCTATAATCGTGTATACAAATTTATGTGTATCTCTGTGGTAGCAGTTACATAATATGAGAGAGAAAGAAGCGGATTCCGTCGATTTTGTCAACATGTGTACCAAAAAGCCTACGTCTCAGGGGGACAAACTCCTTCAATCAATAGTTCTATTGTCGTGCATTTTGCTGATACAGGATAAGTTTTACTGAAGCGATTAATATCAAATGCTCGAAACTCGACTTATGTATTCAGAAAGAGGCAGTTGCCAGTACTTTCTTGCCCTGGTATCTCGATATTTTTACTCTTCCCCTTTTATTTCATTACTTAATCTTTGGCTTCAACTTCCCCCTTTACCTATTGCGTAATTTGGCTTGTTTATTTGCTTCTGTAACCTGAGTTGCACTTACCTTTTGTTTGCTTTTCATTACGCGACTCCTGTTAACTGACACCTTGTTGTTACCTTTCCAAATACGTTAAAAGTGTCTCTTTGGATGTACTTAGTCGGTGATTTTAGGTTGTACGCAGTTGATGAAAGGTCGACGAAAACCGTTGTTTTCACTTTATGCAAATTCACAAAAGGGTATATATATATATATGAAATGTCAATAAAGCTTTGTGCTCGTCTTATACTGTTGTTCCAACGCTTTTTATCACATATAAAGTATCATTGATATAAGTATAAAACTTGGGCACTGTGGTAGAGTATAACTCCATTAGAGATAAGATTTTATTTTGATAGTATTATACATTACTATTAACTGATTTTTTGGGCACAATTTATTGCCACTCATAATCATATCAAGTCACTACACAACTTTTTTACTTCATTTATACACATAGTGGAATTGATTAAACATTTGAATAAAATCAATATAGGATAATGTGTATTCAGAAATAATAATAATATGAGTGTTATTGATCAAATACAAGCAGATGGGAAATAAGGTCGGGGGTAGTCAGATTGTCAGAACATAAGAATTTAGCTAAGGTAAGAATGGTTGACCCCAAGAAGATAAGTAATTTTAAAAAAAGCTCAGCGATTGAACTGCATGCATTAACACACAATCACACAATAGGGTGGGAGAGGGTTAAAATCCTAAGAAGTAATAAAGGAAGTGGAGAGAGAGATTGATTACTGAATCCTGTCTGGTTCATTGAGTCTACACCCAACACATGCAATAGAAATGACTTAATGCAAATATCAGGGATATGGAAGATATTATTATCACCAGTCAGTCAAATCAGAGGAGAATAATAAATAATCTTAAAATTCTATCTCAATTCACACGCAGCATAGCATTCTAACAAGTTACTTAATTTGACTATAAAAACACTCGTCTTATTTCCCATCTGATTGTATTTCATTGTTATCAATAACACTGTTATTTCTGAATGAACTTTATCTTATATCGATTTTTATTCAAATATCTAATCAATTCCACATATGTATATGAATGAAGTAAAAAAAAAAGTTGTGTGAATGACTTGATATGATTATGAGTGGCAATAATTTGTGCTCGACGCGTCATCAGTTAATGTTATTGTATAACACTGTGTGATTTATCAAAGATAAATTACACACTGTTACACAATAATATCTCATCTATGATGGAGTTATAAAATATCATTTAAAAAAAAAGATAACCATTTGAATGATAAATAGGGAAGAAAGAAGAATAAACATTTTTAGCATAGAATTTAGTATTCTAATGTAATTATGCATGTTATCATTCTCATTGTATGTTGTGTTTCTATTGCTTTTCCTCTTGAATAATTCTCTAGCTCTTTATTTTCACCGGAGTATATCGTTGTCGACAGAACTACACCAAAAGATACACGTTGTTTTGTCTGTCATCAACTTGGTCATTGGGCAGCACAGTGTCGAAAAAATAAAAAAGCAACAAATGTAGAAAATAAAGATGAAATGTCAATAGTTGATTCATTAATTGGTCATTTTTTGGATAGAAATTCCACATCAACTTCTGAGTCTTCAGAAAAACCATTAATGAGTGATTCAGGTGACAGTCATCATAATTCTCATCGACCTCGTCATATTAATTCAAATATTACTTCTTCACCTGGTATATTATCTGCTAATACTCCAAGACAAGGTAGGCCAGTTTTCATGTCATCTAACAATTATGGGAATGTGTATAAACCACAAAACAATTATTCAAGTCCTTCAGTGCATAATAATTATCAGCATCGTGAACAACGTCCTACGTATACGTATGAACAATCTTCGAATCCAGTGAATTATAATTCAATGAATGCCATTTATCCTCCACAACCTCCAGTAAATCTTACACCTGGTCTTTTAGGCAATGGCAGCAAAATGGTTTATCCTATGCAGCATAATAGGTACTATCAACAACAACAGCGGCCATATCAGCATCCTACTCATCAGTATCCTCCACCGCTTACTTATGTACCATACAATAGTTACACTTCACAAGGAAATCATCGTATGAATTACCTACCACACGAGCAGCAGATTAGTAATGCAAATAATGCAAATTGGATATTAAATCCAATTGTTTGCCAACCACAAATACTACTTGCCTCAACAGACAATGCAATTAAAACACCAGTTAATAATGATAATTCTAAACGATCACCATATAAGCCTAAACAGATGAATGTCACCACTACTCATCAGACTGAGAATACGTCACATACACCTAATAATCATGGTGAGTGTGTAGACCTATTCATCATTAAAGTATCATCATAGTTGATGATTGAAATTAGATTAGACTTTAAATGTTTCTTTGAAGCTGTGTGACTTATTGGTGTAGTAGACGCTGGACGACCTACCAAGTAAAAGTAGTGGGTCGCGGATTCCGACCCCACTTCATCTACCTAGGTTGTGGATAGCCAGGTACTGTCAATCACTAGCCCTCATACAAGAAATGTGACTCATTGCCAACTGCGTGCAATTGCAAATGTTGTTGAGTGACATTTGATTGAGTAAATTCTGAATATCGCCTTACTAGAAACGTACTAAAAATAGTACTACCCCATTGTATAACATAAATCAAGTCATCTGTTCCTTGTGTCGCTTACTGTAGATTTTTAGTAGAGATGAAAAAGAAGTGGTCAACTTGGAACCTCATAATAGTGGTCTATACCTCCATCTGACTGAAAGTTAGTAGTGAGTATTTAACGAGCCGCCGACCTAGTCATTGAAAGCTGTCTACAGAATACGATGAAGCTTGAATCAAATTGTCTAAATATCTATTTTATTTAATTACTCACATGTAGTCACTGATGTATTCGTTACTTGCTGTCGAACTATTATTACATTCAAACATTTAGATAATAACGCCCATGATCAATCATGCCAACCCAAATTAAATCATATCATAAAGTATTTGACTCCCTAGAGTATTATTATTATTATATCCTTTAATTCTTAGAGGAACATAGGGCTTCAGCTGCGCATCTCCATTGCCTTCGGTTTTCTGCCACCCCGCTCCAAGTCTGTCCACATGCTTTCATCTCCTCTTCGCATGACCTCCTCCAAGTCACCCTTGTACTGACGACCAACTCGCTGCTTCCCTTTCAATCGGGTTCCACTCGAGCAACGGCTTGTCTAGTGATGTTGCTTGATGGTTTCCTCAGAGTATGGCCAGCCAATCCATCTCCATTTCTTCCTGCCTATTTGTTTCACAATCGGTTGCTGCTGGGTTGGTTCGCTCATTGCCAGAGATCCCTGTTGCTGATCTTTTCTGGCTGGCCATGTGATCTTGAGTATTGAGCGAAGACAACTGTTAATGTAGTTCTGAAGTTTTTTTGAGACGCTCTTTATGACACGCACTGCAAGTCTCTGAACCGTATAGTGAGTAGCACTGAGTTGAAAATCCGGATGTTATTTTTGATGCTGAGTGCTGTTGACCTCCACACAGACTTGAGAGTAATGAAAGCTTGTCTTGCTTTTCCGATTCTGGCTTTGATATCCTCGTCAGTTCCATTGGCCTGTAGTTGAAACGATGCTTCCTAGGTAGGTGGGTAGGTAAAGGAGGTTGCTTCTTTCAGGTTCCTCTCATTTATGCTGATTGTTGTTGTTGGCCAGGAATCTTCATCAACTCTGTTTTATCCATGTTCACCTGAAGTCCTATCTTTTCTGGATGCTTCTTCTGCCAGCTTGTTGCTTTTCACTTGCATATCTTCCAGTTTGTGGGAAATCAGACATATATCATCGGCGAAGTCCAGATCCTCCAAGTTTTTTGTGTGAGTCCATTTTATGCCTGTTTCCTCGTTGTTGCCGTTGTCTGTCTCATTATCCAATCTACTGCAATCAGGAAGATCATTGGCGATAGTAGACAGCCTTGCCTCACTCCCGTCCGCACTTCGAAGGCTTCCGTAATTTTCCCGTTGTGGATTACTTGGCATGCAGCATTGTCGTATAACTGTTGGATGAGGTGTATAATTGTCGATGGGACCCCGTAGTAGCGAAGTAGTTGCGTAATCACCTCTCGATCGACGCTGTCGAAGGGTTTTTCAAAGTCGATGAAGTTGAGATAGAGAGGTGACTGACATTCCAAGCTTTGTTCAATGGAGTGATTGACACAATTGGTCTGTAAATTTTTAAATGTATACATGCAAGTGTAAAAGAAATCAGTATACTTCTATTTAAAATTTTATGGATGTCTGAAGACTCTCACACTGCTCGATTTTATTGGCTAGTTAACTTTTTAAAGTGCGCCACTAAATAATCTATGATGGGTGAGCAATAATGCCAGAAATGCATGTATTCTATTTTTTTAAGAGTTGATTTGTAGCCCGATCACGGATTGATATCGGTTACAGAACTAATAAAAACTAGGGAATACTGGGCTACTGATTTGTCGTAGTTCGACACTCTTCATCTCTATGTACTCATGAACTCAGCCGGGACCGAACCCCTAAGTTACATATCGAGCTTTTTGACCATTCAACTACTGGGACGAGATCCAATGGCCAGCCATGAATCCTAACCTGTCAATATGTAATTTTTAGCCGCACCACTAGCTAATGTAATGGGTAAGTATTGGTCCTCACATCCGATCCGGTGAACCCCACAGGTCACGACTTCTTATCAGAACTCCAGGCAACTTTGTCCTGTAGTTAGTCACCAGTTAGCATCAGATTAATTTTCCAGTGGTAGTATGTAGGGGTTTGATTTGTTTCAAGTTTTTTGCATGAGTAAAAAAATAACTTCACGTGTATCTCTCTCTCTCGTGTTAGAATCGAATTCTCAAAGTTCAAAGCAACCCGGTCATCATGGTGTAACAAATTATACTATGCATAAAAACGCTTCATCATCTTCAGGTAGTGAAGAGAAATTCACTTCAAGTACAAAAAGATCGCGTAACCAACAAAACAGACAGTTTACTTTTTCATCATCTTCGAATGGAAAGCAAAATTCTCAACGACTTTCAAATAATATGTATAATGCAGAAATTGAACCATCAAAGCAGCCGTTGAATAATAATAATAAGTCTGTCTATCCAAATGAAACTCAATTTACCAGAAACAATCATTCATGGAATTCGTACAAACCTAATCCTAGTCCTAAAAAGAATTACGATTCTCAACGGTCTTACTATTCTCGTGCAACTGGCTCTTCAAGACCATATGACCATGACGTGGATGCAAGTTTAAGTGAACGTTTACACAATATGAATGCTACACATCCATCAAACTGAGGATAAATAACAAATGAAGTGGTCTTATTCTGGACTACGATGCTTCTTCCTGTCACTATGTGTATAATTGTGATGGATGTTAATGATAATTTTCTTGTTGTTTGTATAACCTACATGGCTTACGATCTTCAGATGTAAATTTGTGTATCCTTTAAACATTGCATGAGAAACTTTCCTCACTTCTTACTCCTTACTATCTTTATTGACGATGACTAAAAATTGTGATGAGTCAACAATACCATTGCATTTCTCATTTTACCCTTATGTGTGTGTATTTTGGTTTATAAATTATTTAAGTGATCAGTTTTTATTGAAATCTTACATCTTTGAGTTGTAGTGTGTATGTGCGTGTTTGTTCTCTAGTTCTTTTTTTTGCACTATACTTGTTCGTAATGAGTTCAGAGTTGTATGTGTGTATAGTTTTTCAGAAGCAAATGTGTGGATTATCCTTAAAAATCGACAATGGTAACAACACTTTTTTGTTTTCTATCGTATTAGGTCCCTGATTAGCTGCTGCTTTAGAATACACTGATGACTTAAGCATTTTGAAGAAATTGAATCACAGATTTTCGGCGGTGATTTTCGGCACTATTGTATCACAAATATCAATCTCACTCAAGCTACTCCCATTTGTGTTATTGTGTAGTGTTTTCAACGATAGTAATACATTTGCAACATAGACAGCTATTACATGGATGTCCAGTAACACCCAATAACATTGTGTGTACACTGTCGGTCTACTCTAATATTGTATATGCGCTCATGGCTAGAAATCTTATTGTAAGGTCTTCTTCGGGACATGTCAACAGAGTGTTTGGGAGCAATCTAGGTGTTGAGAATTTAATCAGTTGATGAGGTTTCAGGTGCTTGGCACGTTAGCTAAACGGGACGTATTATGTATGTTTATCCAACTCCTTACACCAGTGTGTTATGTCCCACACCAATGAATATTAGTTTGAACCATGTGATGTGTGGTGATCGGTGTCGGGCTTCGAATCAATCGCACTGTCCTAGAATTTAGCCTGATTCATATAATCAATGCGCAGGTACGCTACGTCAGAACCCAGATTGCTTTTCAGTAACACTAGGCCCTATTTTAATAACCTCGCCAGTTAGGATTCTTCAAAACTAGATTGTTTTCGCATATATATATATATATACGTACGAGCGCAGAGACATTTTCTTTGCGGTTTTGTATTACTAGCAGTTTCGCCTGTATATTGATTAGATTGCGGGAAGCTAATATTACGTGTGAATGCGAAGTTGTTTTCTTGACTACATTGAGTCAAACCAGCTTTTCTCTCTAAAGTCTGGAGACACGTACATATCATCCGTCCTATTAATCGAGGTCCTAACCATAAACAAGGTGTTTCTCATTTTATTAGTGAATCGAGTGTGCCAGTAGAGGAGGTCACAATAAGCACAAAGTCGCGTTTATACTTAAAATCCTAGTTCAAAATTCACTGTCTACATTCTCTTGAAACCTCCACGAAAAACTAAAATTCGATGACCTATTAGTTGGTTAGTTGTTTATACATTAGTATCACAAACTGTTTAACCGTAAGAAGAAAGAGTCGATATGATTCATTGTGAGTATTTCAAACAAAGCTTGCCGCAATACTACCGATAGGCCGTGCAAGTACCATAAAGGATTCACCATAAATGGCTTTTGATCACTACGACATACATTGATAAGAATTTCTAAACCAAATGAACTTATGCGTCAAAAAACCCACGCGGTGTTATTTTCAGAGACCATAAAATGTGATTCCAGCGTCTGGATACAAATGTGCCGAATTATTGTTTGTGTTTTTGTCGTTTAATATCTCCATGTTTCACTATGACGTGTGGTTGGTGGTGGAGTTCAACACAAAGTTGGTATTTCTGGAGGGATAGAAATGCCTGTAGTTGACACTTCTTACCTGATGGCAGGTCCCTCCGGACCTTTTCGCGCACATGAAATTCTCCGTAGACCTAGGTTTCACTAATTAAGTCAATTTAACGGGTTATATGAGGAACCAAGCTGTACACTGAACTTATATTGATTCCATGGGCTTCTTATTTCACATAGTGTTGTGTCCTAACGCTATCATACAACTGATAAATGTCCTCTCTTTTTACCATTATTGGCTTTTATTACAAAGTGCGGCAACACAAAAAGAGACACTGATAGGATTAAAATATACAATTTATTATATAAATAGTTAGAAATGCATACAGTTGGTGTGATTTTACGCCCGCCGTTTTTTCACCTAAAAATGCAGATAAAAGAAATGTTTGTTAGTGTTACAGAAAGGGGAAAGATTCATGCGTGAGTCATTTGCTTTCTGTTAACACTGAAACTACAAGGAGTTGACTTTTTAGGTGTTTAAAAGCAGCGCATTTCAACAACTTCTGTACTGATTTAATAATTACTCCATGTGATAGGACACAACAGCTAAATAATAACAATTTCTTCAAAAAATCTCCGACATTCTGTTTCTGTCTAAATTCAAAGATATTAATTATATTGGCCGTTGCTCTGGGACTGTCTGTCTGTTATCGAACCTTGCACAAATGTGCGGAAGTACAAGTCGCCACACTCCGTGTAGCACGCGAAGTAAGAGAAGAAAGTACAAGAAAAGCATAATAGAGACAGTGAGCAGAGGTGTGAGACATAGGAAGAGTAATAACGAAGAACAAAACAGTTTCATTGGAAATCATAAATCACAAGGAGTGGATGCATCTGCGCCACTGAGAACGATTTTGAGCCTTGTCACCAATTGTTTCCAACCATAGATTTTTACCGTCCCGAGGACCCCAGCCTGGAAGTCTACACCTTCCTACGAGGCTTAGACCAACTGTTGTGGATTTCATTGACTGGTGCCAAGTTTTTGTTTGACCGCCTCTAGCTTTTTTCCAGCCTGACCCTATATCCGCTAACATAGCTCGTCGAGGGAGGCGATGGCTTGGCATACGTAACACATGTCCTAACCATCTCAGTCTTTGTAACTTCACAACTTCGTCGATTGATTTCCCCCGTTTACCTAGAACTCTACGCCTAACCTCCATGTTGCTCACCTTATTATGCCACTTTACACGGGAAATAGAGCGCAGGCACCTATGATCAAAGACAGCTAGTCTTTTAATGTCTTCCACTCCCAGTGGCCAAGTCTCACAACCATAAAGGAGGACGGTGCGCACTGATGAGCAGTACACCCGCCCTTTGGTCGATAGCCGAATATCTCGTCTACGCCAGAGTCGGCGTAAACTGGCATATGCGAAACGAGCCCCCTGTATTTGTGCTGAGATTTCGTCAGAGATCAACCCGTTGGCGTTGGCTGATGGTACTTCCCAAATAAGTGAAGCGGTCAACGTGCTCTACCACTTCACTTCCTATTTTTAAACTAGGCGTCGATGTAGTCCAGTCCTGTAACATCATCTTGCATTTGGCGGGAGCGAATCGCATGCCAAACATTCGTAGATTGCGGCTCAAGGTGTTCAGAAGACTCTGCATTTTGTCAGAGTCGTCGCCTAGGAGGACTATATCGTCTGCATATTCTAAGTCAACGAGATTATTCCCTGGTAGCAAGTCAATCCCTGAGTCGCTGAAGTCACCTAGGGTTAAGTCCATTGAGACATCTATGATGAAGTTGAATAGAAAAGGGGATAATGGGCATCCTTGACAGACACCACTAGTCGTCATCAGTTCAGATGACAGCTCGCCGTAAGCCCTCACCTGGCTGTATGAGTACGAGTAGAGTGCCTTAATCAGTGCAATATATTTTCTCGGGATTCCCTTTACAGCCAAGCATCTCCAGAGAACTTCTCGATCGACAGAGTCGAATGCTGCCTTTAGGTCAAGAAATATAATAACTGTTGGACGCCGGTAGGAATGCTCTGGGAACTTGAATTTTTGTGCTCGAGAACATCTCCCACTATGGCTAAGTAAAGGTGAAGTGAAAACCATCAACAGTTCGATATTGGACCATCTGGTGCAAACCGGCTACAAAGCCAGCGTGCCTAACAAATTGCCGATATCATCGAAGCACCGCATGCTCCAAACAGCAGAGGCTATTGCAATCCGCCTGGAACAACCAGTGCCCTGTGTTCAAAAGAAGCACGTCCATCTCCCACTACTGCCCTGGCCTTCAGTAAAGACTATAAATTCATGAAGTCTGTATTTGATTAGCCTCCTTTCTATGGTTGTTGCATGCATATTCTGCACAATTCCTGCTCAACAGTTCGCCACTAAACGCTCTGTCTGTCTGGATTCAACATAGAACTTGGCACCGAAGTGCACCAGTTCCAGTTGCCACATTCCAAATAGCACACAAAGGTAGACAAGAAGATGAGTGAAGAGAATCAATAGAGTTTGACAGGTGTAAGAGTGAAACAGAATGGGTAATGGTAGAAAGAAATATCAAAGATTACAGAGACTGAATACATCTGCGCCGGCCATTGACAACGATGAGTTTCAACCATGTCACCTATTGTCTCCAGCCATTGATTCCTAGAGTCCCGAGGGCCCCAACCCGGAAGTCTGAATCTCCCTGCCTGACTCAGTTTTACTGTCAAGGATTTCACGGATTGATGAGGCCATGTTTTTGTTTGACCACCACTTACTCTTTTCCAACCTTCACCTATATCAGCTAGCAATGCCCGTCGGGGGAGGCGGTGGTTAGGCATGCGCAGCACGTGACCTAGCCATCTTAGTCTATGTAACTATAACTTTATAGCCTCGTCGATTGATTTTCGCTCTTTGCCCAACACTCTACGCCGATCGTCAACATTACTTGCCTTGTGAAACCACCTAACGTGAGACAGAGATCGCAGACATCTATGATCGAAAGCCACTGAACGCCGTTAGAGATTGCATAATAGCAATAAAAAAATTATTGAAAAATGACTTGTATTAGCGACAAATACATCTGTTGTATAATGCCTCTTAAGGATACATCATTACATATTATATGAAGCCAACTTGATGTGTCAAACATTTAGTTCAATCCATAACTAAATACACACAGAATAGACCAACCAGGAGTAACAAAGAATGTATACAAAAATAGACAGGCCGACTATAGTATATCAACAGCTTTTCTGATATCAGACAATTAAAGATGGAAAACTATCGCAATTGAGAGATAGCGGGTACTGACGAATACCTTACTGTCCCCTATGAATTCTATATTATATTTAAAAAATATACAGTATCTCCAACAAATCATATTGTAGAGCTGAGTGACTAAAAATATGGATATGGAATCTCAGCAAATGGACTTTTCTAGCCAAATAACAAGCAAGAAATTTAGGGTTATTTGACTTCCTTGAGTAAATACCCGAATAATTTAGCTGTAGTAAATACTAACAATGGACGGTGGATAGGGGTTTATGCGATCAATCAGGGTTATTGCAAACATAAAATGCTACTCAACAGCCACATTCGTTTGACAAGGAGCCACACCTATTGTGTAAGGGCTGATGTTACGAATACCCGGCTTTCCAAACATTGTTGGGTACAGCAGGTTTGAATGCCAGAAATCGATTATGGAAAATCGAGCGTCACAATCAGTGAGCCAAAACCTGATTATCATTAACTGCAGAAAACGGCTGTCCTCAAAATAATTAAGAAATCACTCACATTCCACGAAAGGTTGTTGGTTAGCACAATCATATTACTCAGTCTCAACATTATTTTCATAGATTGATGCATCACTTATCATCAGTAACCGTCACCGATAGAACGAATGACAGCATGCAAGAAACACCTCTTGAGATTAAGACTACAAATATTGCAAAACTTCAAATGATAACAAAATAATTAGCTAGTAAAGACTTTTAGGATGTTTAGTACTTTGATAACGTGGCCCGTTACTGACATTTAACTTTTATCTAGTACGTCAGGGATACAACTACAGTTCCACTTATCGAAGTTTGTATGTGATTAGACGACATCATAAATAAGCTGTCTAGCATAGTTTATGAAACTGTATTGTTATTCTAGCCACTATGACAAATTTTTCACTGAATAGAAAAACAACATGTAGGGATTAATTTTAAGCTCATCAACCAAAAATGAAATGATTATGTCAACACAACTTACAATTCGATCGAAAGCAGCATCAAACAATCCAGCTGCTTGGTCTTGAGTCTGGTTGGCGCCTTTGCTATCATATTCACCTGGAGAATTTTTACGTTTTAAGCGGTGTTGTGGAAAAGATGGCATCATATCAGGTTCACAAGCTGTTATTCACAACAACAAAAAAGAAATCAAAAGTAGATTTGTGAATTTTCTTATTCCTTTACGTTCCCAGTGGAACAACATAGGGGTTCAAGCTAGAGGCTTGAAGTTTCAATAGCAGTGGTGTTTATTTTTATGGGATGAGGTTGCTAGCCTCATGCCCAACCTTTCCTTTTTACCAGTCTTAATACTGGATTAGTGAGGTAAAGTAGTGCGTCGGTCGGGGATCCAACGCCGGACCACATGTGTGGTTAGCGAGCATTCTACCGCTGTGCCATCGACGCAGATAGGTGAATACACACTTAAATCAGTAAGTCAAACAATGTTCATCAGACCAAATTTATTCTAAAGAGGAACACACCTGAAATTCAACAAATTCTTGGAAAACTTTAGTTCTATGTTTTGCATTCTCCTTATTTCCTAAGATAAATTCATTGGACCACAAAGGTTTCTGTATACATACGCATGCAAAAAAGCACATGATGATGAATAGAGCGAATACTATTGGGAAGTATTAACAAATTTCACTTGAACTCATTTCATTTGACCTTATATTTCATTAAAACAAATAATTCTCTCTACATTACACTTAACCATACAAATTTGGAAAGGAAAAATGCCGATACACTCAACAGAGCAGAAACTGCTTCTCAAATATATGTGTAAAACTTGGGCACTGTGGTAGTAAGTAATACCATATTAGTTTGCTTATTAAGATATAACACACAGTGAAACGGTATTTTTTTATATATATATATATATATATATATATCCAGTATATAATACTGTTTCACTGTGATATATCTAATAAACAAACTAATATGGAACTGCTTCTCAAACTTTGAATGTATACAAATTATATCGTTTTTAAGTAATTTAAGTGACCAAAAGTGGGGACCAGTCTCACTGAACTGTTTTTTACCCAGAGTATTACATATGTGTATGTTTCAAAACATTTGCGAAACTGCCTGTAAGGACTCACGCAAAGGATGCTCACGGAAATAAGAACTCTGACAACATTCACGGGCTCGAGCACGTTTGGAAGGATCATACATGAATAGGAAATTCAGCAGACGTAGTCCAGCGTCTGATAGCCATGGGAATGTGTGCCGCAAATTGTTATATCTGAAGAAACAATGAAAACACTTTATGCACAGTTTCTAAGATAAATTAAACATTAAGAATCATGCAATTATTGACAATGGTTACTGGATCAGTTAAAATGGTTGCGGAGAAATTTCAATTCAGTAACAAAAATACACTAGTTTTTAAGAGCTAAGACATATACGTCAAAATAGTTGCAAACTACATCTTTCCTATGAATTAGTGGTACTACATGACCACCTAATACAAAGCCAATAGAAAAAACTCAAACTAGCGATTAATGACAGTCATATGCTCAGACTACAGAGCCCAAAATGCAGACAACCAATTTGATACTTATTTTCGAACACACTATGACGGAAAATTTCCTTACCTAAAAGCGACCAGTTTATTTTTTCAAATGTCGACAAATTAAATCTTTCTAAACGTCAGATGGTTAATTTTAGCTTTAGGCGTAAAACTTGTGCAGACTGCTTTAGTAACATGGATCTAGAAACCTCGATGATACACAACAAATCTAATATCATCTAGCGCAGGATCTTTACTTATCGTCACATTCCCAACTGATTTTGGTGATACTGAACCCCTGGTTGTTTGGTTTATAAATTCTTATATTATCTACTGTTATTCTTTATTCTTCCTTACGAAGTTTATGGACATTGCTTTTAAGTTAATAGTGCTCATGGGCCACAGAATTCAGAAGGAACGAAGGATGAATGAACTTTTTGATAGCTTTACTGACTTGTGGACCAAGCTTCCAATCAAATAATCGAAGAGTAGCGCCTTAAGACAACCATCTACTTTTGTTTGAGTGTCTGGACAATATCGCAACCTTCACAATAATTTTCAAGCAACAACTCAGTATTAGCCTCGACTGGATTCCTACTTACAGTCCTTTGTGTAATGTTAGACTAGAGTAAGAAGCATAGGTCCAGAGAAGAGTTGTTATTTAATCATCTCTAATGCACAGTGGTCGCTTTCCATCCAGAGGCAATTAAGGATTGGTTCTATTATCAGCCCAGTGGCCTCAAATAATCGCGTTTGAGAGTTACCAATAGTTTGGGCTCTGACAGAAGTCTTTTATTTAGTCATAAGAAGCGTTTAATTTCAGACTACAAGGGGAATCCTCCTTTGTAGCTCAGAAGAGACTACAACATACTTCTAGTCAGCCTCTACACCTGACACAATCATCTCCATTGTGGTACCTCCTCAGTGTCCGATGGCTTTATGGTTACATTAACACTGATCAAACTAAACTATCTGAAACTCTACGTGCTAAAGTGGTACAGAGCACACAGTTTAGACAACTTGTAACTAGCTTTGTATGATGACAGCAGTGGAACTCTAGTCAAAAAAGTGATTATTAACTCAATGTTAGCATTTTGTCGATAATAAAGAGGTTATCCATAGCACTATGTATTAGTTAGTGACTGATTTAATTACGAGTAAATTTCACTTTCACGCCATAACAGTCATTCAATGGGAAAATTGCAAAGCGAATGTAGACAACCACTCACAACTTCATATAAAAGCTCGTTGTTTTACGTCTTTATTCAAGAAGTCGAGATCTTATTCTTAATTGTAGGAGAACAGTCGTTATTTCTAATTCATAACTACACTAGCCGCTTGAGTATTCGTTAATATGGAGCGGAACAATGAAATTGTCAGAGTGAAACTTCCTTAACGGAAATCATACAACTATAAAGAGTCAAATGTCATAGGAGACTGTGAACTCACGGTTGTTTCTTCAGGTTAATTTTTTCTAACGCTGGTAATTTAGACAGATTCTAAAAAGAGAGTCATTAAGTGAGTAATAAGAACAAACCGGCCAAATCTGATCATTGGGTGTGCCGAGTAAATCAATAATTAACTCTAGCTGATGCACTTCTGTCTTCCCCGGAAGTAAAGGCTTATGTAACAAGAGCTCGCCCATAATACATCCGGCTGACCTAATATGTTATAATGAAAAGAAAATTACCCTGACTAACCATATATCAACAGCCTTGGTTTGGTTCTTATCGCCAAGTAAAATTTCAGGTGCACGATACCTACAATTTAGAAAGATTTACGATTTTCATAGTTTTATGCAATAATATGTAGACTGTCAATGCTTGTTCGACAGATCAGTTAAATGAAATGCATCGGTTGCCATACAATAAAGTGAACATATAAAAGTCAAATACCATGAACAAAAACGCGTAAAACAGAAAAAAAACTGAAGAACCAGTGAGAATTTTGAAAATTAACTGTAAATGCATGTCATGGACGATTTTAAATTATTTACTGAAGGGTCTCCGAAAAATGATTTTCGATATTTTCATAACCTCGAGCAGGTACTTTGCATCTTGAGTGTGTAGTCAGTAACTCAATACAGGAGTGATATGACGATGGGTAAGCATGAGGCGATTATATTTAATTTTTTATTGTAGTTTGACTCCACACAGTATTTTTGATAAAAGTATGAAGTTCAGCATGTGATGTGTGCATGGTCGGCCAGCGTCCTAACCGCTATGCCACCTGGTCTTACTGCATTTGTGCATATGACCCAGAATACTATTCTCTCCAGTCGGGTAGAAAAACATGGCATAAGAAATGACGATTTCATAGGAGTGATCTCATGAAACCGAAACGCTTTCACACTTTCATGATTGAAACGCTGCCTATTGTAAAATACAGATAACACTATTTAATTCACAGACAAAAAGCATTTGAAGTTACATTAAAATGACCTATGCACTTTTGTACACCCAAGTTATATTTTATCACTAATTAAGCTAGGTGGGGATCTTCTTAATGAAATATACAAGCACATATAGGTTTGTGTAAAACTTAATTCTCTAAGTCATATCACTGATAACAATATTTTCCATTGTATTCACTCCAACTCCCACAATTCCAGTAGTTCTTTATATTGACCATGTAGCTGCAACTGAATTCTCCACACAAGATCTGAATTCCAGCTGGTGTTTAATTACGGCCAATTACTATCTCAACCCAATATAGACAGATTCGCTTAAATGACCTGAAACTGAGGGTGTACTACTGTCTAGATAAAAAAACAAAATCACCATAATGAGGAAAACTTGAGCCCCAAACCACAGTTCTCGCGGATACTGCCTATTACCTTAGAAAGTAGATGATTCAACTAAAAAACCCTTGGTAAAAAATACATAATATTTCATTGCTTACCATAGAGTGACAACACACGGCGTCATGGGATTATGAGAATGAGTAGGCCGAGAAAGTCCAAAATCAGCTAAAGAAACGAAATGAATACAATAGCATAAATACCTATTTTGACAAGTCCTTTGTCGTTCATTAATAAATTGGAAACTTTCAAATCTCGATGAATTATAAAATTTTCATGAAGATACCTCAGACCTTTGAAAAGTTGAAGCATTATGCATTTAACCTGTCGATAATTACAAAAAATTGCATTACCTGAGATTCTGTGAAGGGATTGGGCATATTATCAAGTAGGCTTGCCATATCTTGTTCACAGTATTCCATTACAAGAAATATGCTAAAGATTATTGGAAGTGTGTGTACATACCTATCTAAACTTCGACCAACAACAACTTCTCTCAAGTGAACAATATTTGGATGTTTAAGGCTAAGCAACAAGGTGATTTCGCGCAGGCTACTGATTGGAATTCCTAAAATTCCCATTAGAAATGCGTATCTGACTTACCATCCCTAACGTTTTCCATACGAACTTTTTTAAGAGCTACCACCTCTTTTGATACAGTGTCACGGGCACGGTCTGAACTATCAGATAAGTACTGGAACTTACAAACTATGCCATATGTCCCTTCACCAATGCGATTGAGCTTCTCGAACTCTGCAACACTCCGACATCTGCCCTCCTAATACATGAAAAACAAATTATATCCTTACTCTGAACTCAGATGGGATTTTAAAATAAGAAAGTCTTTTCACGCTGAAGATTTTGAAGTCTCTAGAGTCTGAATCATTATCACGAGCGGCAGACCGAGAGGCGCACATTTTGTAATTGGCGAAACTCGGTCCATTATTCAACATTAGAGAATTTCAAATACTCGGTGTCTTAGAGTTTATAGGAATTTTATTTCTTTCCTATTGACATAACTGCCATAGAAAACCAATATTTTATTGTCAGGTGAATGAATTATTGATTTCCATCTCCATATGTTGTAAGTTACTGAATTAATGAAAAGGCTGAATGCTTCTTGGAAACTTCTACTTGTTAAGATATCTGAAGCAGGGGATAAGCGATTAGTATAGATATGATTGAGTTGCACACACCTTGAAGGAAGAAATGCGATGGTGTCGAAGAAAATAATCAGAGGAAACAGTGAAACATTGGGACACCGAAGAAAGAAATTAAATGTAATTGAAATAATCGAACGATTCAGGACCACTAATAGGGATTTCGTGGACGCGGTTGGTGCAACTTCCGATATCCTAGAAACTCTTGAACAAAGTTGATCACTGTGGCACTAATGTTTGTCCCTAAATAGATTGTCCATTAGTGTAAATACTCAAATATTCACAAATTTCACGCAGTGAGTGTAGGGAAATGAATTATCTGAAATCCACTTACAACAGAAATTTTGCGAATCGATATTTACCTCAGTGTCTCCACTACTTATGTAGTTATCATTATTCGCGAATGATTTTCCCTAACTTTTGCATTCAGCGAATCACTTTAGTACTTCGAGATACCAGACTAGTGAGAAAAATGTGTTAGTTCACTATTATTATTCCGCCTGAGTGAATTCGAGCTCACATTGTGGAGTAGCTGCTTGTCCTTGAACCGCCTAATCTTTTATTCTGTTTGATCCTTGCAGACAGTATCGATCCTCTTTCGTTTGGAATATTCGATTCTCAGGTACTTTAAAGTTGTATTTGGCTTATAACATTGCTGTGTGGTGTGTATTTTGTACCTGAAAAACCCCTAGATTGCATATTTACCTAACGACATCACTGTACAATTTTAGCGTTTTTATTATTTCATGGCGTAAGAAATTTCACTAGGCTTAATCATTTCCACATACTGTTGGAGTATAATCTTTGTGTTTGTGATATAATTTCGGTAAGCCATGCAGAATAAAGGGGTAAATTTTTTTGATAATATTGATATAGCTTCACTGATCGGTTTCCAGCAGTTTTACCCTAACACTTTTGTTCGGTCCGTTACAGCCTGGTCTAAGAAAAAGTAAGATCCCCCATCAAGTCACACATTAATGAAAGTCCAAAATTAAAGGTGTCTGTCAATCACGTCTCATAAACCGTTAATGCCCAGCTCTCGCTACGCTCGGGCCCACGCTGTTCTTCGAAGATTTCTCAGAAACGCTTAGTTATAACGGACGCAAAAACCAAAACACTGATCTGCCGCTTTAGATTTGTTTATTGTTACACCAACATATAAAAGGAATAAGCGAACTAAGGTTTCTGACGATGTTTCACTCTTCTTTCTGAACAGCGACCGATGAGACGATGACTGTCGTATTGATGCCTCCGCGAAAATTGGGGAAGTTGATTTTGAGCAAACAACCAAGAATTGATCGTTCAATCTTCAACTCCATTGACACTCCCCGGCAAAAAAGGGATCCAACCCTTTTTTCCTTCACGACCAATGCACGTTGACTTGGATGCCATTGCGAGAACCTGGGTCACACGGACAGAGCTGAAATGGAAAACAAACAGAAAAGCCAACACACCACAAGCATACCCACAGCACAATCTCACACATCAATGACGACCTGCGCCTCCAGACAGAGACCTCCTCTTGACATCTTGCAACACAATCGCCACTTGCTAGAATGACTCTTGCAGAATGCAAAGTGACCATAGCACCACCTCACGATACTCTACGCACATCCTCTTATCTACTCACTACCAATTACCACTGAAATCGCTTGTCACTCATTCTGCCTCAGTTCTAGTAGCGGTGACGCATGCGAGCCTCAGTCGTTTACACTCTTTCTCCCCGGCGTGTCGGACCGCAGCTAACAATTATCTCCGTGTGCATTTCATTCTCAGCAATAGCCTAGCCTCCCCGGCGTATACGACCCATCTGCTGTCTGTAACATCAATCAATTCATTCATGGATGTAGAAGACTCGAAACAACTTCAGAAGTAATCACGACGAAAATTTTAACAAAATTACGCAATAACAACAAGATACGAAAACAACGAGTAAACACAATTGATCCAAAATCACAAATTGCGAAGACACACCACACGTATACACAAACAGTACAAATAACCTCGCGGATCATGTCTTGGTGGAATTCCTTTGAAGAATTGCAGGACTTACACCAGTACGCCTACAACCCTTCACAGGTTGACGATTGTAAGTTGTGGAATGTACGGACACAAACAAGATTAACCAACAATTACATCAATTGGAACTCACACAACTATTTAACACAAACATATGTACAATCAACACATCAAATGTTGTGGATTCTGACACGACAAACTACCCTTGAAGAACTGTAGGACTTACAGCAGTACGCCTACATTCCTTCTCAGGTTGATGATCCAAGTGGAAGTCGTCCGGACACAAACAGAATTACCAACAGCTAGATGACAGATGATATCAATTCAGTATATACAATATGAACATATGTACAAGATCACACACCAAGCACATTGGACTGCTCATTGATGCGCTACCCTTTGAAGAATTGTAGGACTTACAGCAGTACGCCTACAACCCTTCTCAGGTTGACGCCCTAGGTTGGAAAATCGTCGCAGAGTTCATTTGCTAACTTCCTTCTATCAGCTATATCCTCAAATCTGAACGGCAACACGCCCATGTCATTGTATCGTAGAATATAGATGACCAACAAACACACGACATATCTCATCAACCAAGTATAGAAACAGAGTAATTTACACCAAAGATAATAACATTCAAATAGTAACTTGAAACTAGAAATGCCTTTATTCGTGCAAGTCAATTTAACAATAACTCTCTCCTTTACACTTGGCTTATCCACACTAAACTGACCATTGATATTCGTCCTTTCAAACGAACTGATACTACCATAGTCATTGCACAAGATACTTGAGTTGATGGGTGTCTGTTTCATTGTGGATGACAGCACCAACGATGACTGAGTGACACAAGGTGATGAACTTAGTGGTGGATCAGAAGCTGTTCTTGTTCGGCTCTCAGATAGTTGTCCAACTGCAAGATTACCACCACTGCTGTCTTTCACTACTAGTTCGGGTTTAGCACTATCATCTGATGATAGGTGGGCTACACGCTGATCAATTACACTGACTGTCTCACAAGTATGCACACCTTTTGGAACTGCATCTGCGTTCAATTCTACTTCACGTTGTAGTTGTACAGAACCTTTATTTAACTTAGCAGTAGTAGGCATATCCCTCATCTCATAATGATCAACCAAAGACAACTGTGAAGTATCATGATCATTATCACGAATATTCACTTTACCGTCAACTTCATCATTTTCAAACTCTTTAATAACAGAAGTAGACAATTTTGGTTCCTCCTCGCAAATCATTAAAGGTTTTATAACTTCACTCTGACTAGTAATACCTTGTAAACTTGTAGGGTCAGAACTGCACTCTGAAGCAGCAACTCTATTCTGTGACACTCTATTCAACAACGGCTTACCAGTTGCAACTACAGACTTCTTCACCGCACCGTTATCGTCACACAATTCGGAGTCAGACCTGGAGTTTACATTTAGCTTATCACTGAACTTGCTCACCGGTTCACAGTTCACTTCTGTATGCACCTCTTGCACACGTGTAAAACAAAACCGTGTTTGTCTTGCATCTTGTAACTTATCTGTTGAGGATGTACTACGAAACCTGTTACACTCACTAGGTCTATATGCATTACTAGACATCATGGAGCTTTCTCGATATCCACCTCTCTGAGGCCTACTCGTCATCAATGATTGCATTTTGATCTCAGACTGCTCTATTCTAGGGGTGAGATTCAATAGACTGGCGAACTTGCTCATAGATTGATTGACACTATCTTTTACCAGTTTCAGGATATCATCAAACTTTGGCTCGATACCCTCATCCTCCATACGGGAGCTCATCTTCACCCACTTCCTTTGCAGTCGAGTAGGTAGACGTCTTGCTATTACTTCTAGTATAAAACTCGAGTTGAGGTCACTCATGCGATTCATCGAAATCATTCCATTCTTGTAAATTAGCAAATTATCTAAAAACTCAGTGAGTGCCTGGGAGTCATCCTGTAATTGACCACCATTACCCTTAACAGCCTCGAATAATTTCCCTGCAATCATCGAAGGTCTTCCAAACCTTTGACGTAATATGCTCATAGCCTCGTAGTAGCCCTCTTTTGGCTTCATAAACTTACAGCACTGTATAGCTCTTGCAGCATCTCCAGTGCAATATCTCATCAAATACATTAACTTCAATTCATCATTTAATAAAAAACCACTCAACATGATCTCAAACTCCTTTACAAATTGTAAATAATCAGCCGGGTTTCCATCAAAACATCGTGGTTCAAATTTAGGGAGTTTGATGTTCCTATTATCCCTGAACGGCGAAACAGTAACATCAACCATGTCATGCTTAACATCAGACACATCGTTACAATTAACAGACAAGTCACCATGACTTACTTTCCTGTTTGCATCCAAGACACTCTGTCCCTTCTTTGACCCAGGCATTGTTGAACTTGACCCAATTCCAAAAAGTTCCAGATATTGCTTGTTCAAAGAGGACTTGACCGGCACCAGGAAAAATGAACGGCGACTATCCAAACTTTCACCAACTGTTTCAATCCGCCAGATCTGTTTCTATCGTCAGAAACTGTCAATCACGTCTCATAAACCGTTAATGCCCAGCTCTCGCTACGCTCGGGCCCACGCTGTTCTTCGAAGATTTCTCAGAAACGCTTAGTTATAACGGACGCAAAAACCAAAACACTGATCTGCCGCTTTAGATTTGTTTATTGTTACACCAACATATAAAAGGAATAAGCGAACTAAGGTTCC